ATATTTTTTATTTATTTATAAAGTGTGTTTTTTTTCCATGTCATGTTTTGATAACTCTACCATGATAAGTATCTACCATTACCCATGTTTTCACAACTCGTGCAACCGTTTTTACCGGAGGCTTACAATTTTGGCCGGTATGTATGTAAGAATGGTTATCTAATTCCTTATAACTTCGAAATAACATATCGTAAGGGTACCAGTGAGGTATAAATCTAAGCGTCTTAGTTGTCCGCTTGCTATGCTGTGTGACGTTACATTAAATTGGCAACAGCACCCTCTAGAGAGCATAAAGTAAGAAACTAAAAAATATATTGCATTCAATCATTCCGTATAGGGTTTCAAATAAAATAATCAAACAGTTTTTGCTTACGATTTTGCTTAAATACACCCAAAAATTCATTGAATAAAAAATAAATTTAAAAACTTAAACCCTACTACAGCTAAATCACGCTCCAAAAAGTTTACAACAAGAAATTTATTATATAATGGTAAATATACGACAGAAATTATGACATACTAATAGAATTAAAAATATTCTTGAAAATGCATTAAACAATATCCTAAGTTCACAATGAGACCAGTAAATAAACAAGAACATGTGCTTGTATAAATGGTCATAGAAATTTTTTTTATATAATAGGAATCATTCGTATTATGTATGAAATCCTGGGTAAAAAAAAAATATATTTATTGCGTCTCAGTCAGATAAAAGAAAAAAATATATCAGTTTTTTTTTGCGTCATTTCATCAAGAAATGTGTTAGATAAAATTCATTGAAGTTGAGGAGTGGGTGCTCGCTACGTCACAGCTATGTAAAAAATGACATTTCAACTCAATATATCGCCGTAATTTACTTCGCGTAAAGAAGAATGGCGAAATCAGACCCCATAATTTACAAAACCGTACATGGATGGTAATATGACAAATAAATAATATATGATTAATAGATTTAATTTCTACAAAATGGTGAATTTTAATGTCGGGGAACCAAACTAAAATATTAAATGCTGCTAATAATTATCAAGATAACAAAACGTCTGATGATAGTGCAAAAACAAAACGCGAAAATCTTTTTAAGAAACGTTCTGGTCTACGCAGAAATACTGCGTAGAAATACTACTTTAATAATTAAAAGCTAAGATACCACAACCGATTTAAGAAGATTATTGCCAGTTCTGCAGTTGATCCGCTGAAAGGTTAACGTATCGATTATTTTGTTCTAAATAATCGATTGGTTGATTTTATTTTGACAGGCTTGTTTTCATCTATGAATGATGATGATGGTGGAATGATAGCGGATGATTGGTTTGGTTTGGTTGTTGTGTGTTCTTTCGTGGAGTTTGATATTTATGTTAATATTCAACTTGACAATGAAGCATGTTTCTTCGACTAACGTTGATATTTGCATTACTTTTGGATTCCGAATGGCAATCGATTCGGTTATAACAATGACAGTTTAATGTGTACATTGCACTTATTTGTCACTTTCAGTTGTAATGATTTAATTAAAGGCAAAGGGATCTACTCCACACAGTTTAGTCATATAAATGTTTCTTCTATTATAAGTGTCTTGATCTTATTAGATATGTAATTATTTTAATCTAGTTTATTAAACGGAGTAATTTGGTTACCATTTTTATTTATTTTAACGTCCATTCAACGAAAAAGCAAAGATACAATATATAACCCCACAAAGTATTTTATGCCATATCTTTTTAATCCCAACTTTTAAAGGAAAAAGACGATTAGGATTTTGTTAGTTTAGCTTATACCTTCAAGTACACGTTTATTTCATTCATGAACGGGACTTTAAAAATTCAGGTCCAAAGCTATATGGGAGTTCGCCATTGTTCTTTGTAAAGCCAACTTGAGTTGATAGTTTTCCTATTAAATTCGTTATATACGAGTATAAATATACTACTGCCGTAACGTTTCTAACAAGAACCCTTTAGTTGGTATTAGGCATGTGCGCCGATGCCAAAATCTTCGGCGGCGGCGTAGAGCTAAAAATTCAGTGGCGGCGGCGTAAATGGCGGCGTAAACGGCGTCGTTGTGTTAAATGATGGAAAATAAAAAGTTAAACAATTCAGAATGCCTTTACTGACATAACAAATATAAAAGTTACTAAAACTAATAAGTAACACCTTTTAAGTAACATTCAAATATGACACAACTATACTCTTCTAAACTATATAACGTAGTCACAATGATATTAAAAAATACATTTTAGCAATCCATGGGTCCATGTTCATGGATTTAAATCCCATCTGAGAATGCCGGGTACAAAGCAGATTCCATTGCTATGGAAATGTTGGAAATGTTCTAATCAAGAAACCGCGACAAGTTCTTTTGACAATCCTTGCGTGATGTTAACCTGCCACTGCCTAAAGAATTCTGAAAAGACCTAAACAGGTGGAAATCTGAAGATGCAAAGTCAGGACTATACGGCGGATGCATTTACACCTCCCAGCCAAACTCTCTTAATTTAATGAAAAACCTCCTCCCTTCTATTGATTAATTCTGCCCGCTTTCTCTCAACTTCTTGCTTTAATCTCATCAGTTGTTCACAGTAGAGTTCAGAATCGAGGGTTTTGCCTGGCGGTAACAACTCATAATGAATGCCCTTCCAATCCCACCATACAAACAGCATCACCTTTTTGCCAGTTAACCCGGGTTTCGCCACAGTTTGTAAAGTCTGTAAAACCTTTGATTACGATTTTTTTCGCATGTTCTTGTCTTACGTTGTCCAGTTTTCATTACCAGTTATCAGCTTCTTCAAAAAATATTCGGTTTCATTACGTCGCAACAAAGAATCACAAAAGAGTACACGGTTCATTAGGTTTCTTTCAGTGAGATCAGCTTCGTCATAACTACTGATATGCCGATCTTGCTTCACTTTCTCAAAAATGGCATCCATTTTATTCGTAACAGAGCGACCCGAGCGAAGTACACCTTTAATATCAAAATTTCCGGGCTGAAAACGCTAAAACCAAGATAGTACTACTCTCACAAATCTTTTTCGCAGTTCACGTTGCATTTTTACCTTTTTATAATAAAATGTATCTAAGTTCTTCATTAGATTTACTTATTTTGACAGTAAGATAAACAAATGAAATCACACATTTTCCTAATTTGAATTCCAAATCTTTAAAATTTAAATTTTTTAATGATACCGAAACCAGCCACATTGAAATAGTATAGCCAGAAAGATTTTATTACAACTTTATGCATACTATATACGAAAAAGACTTTTTCCCCAACCTAATAGTTATCATGTATAGAAATTATTTAATTGATATTATTTCCTGTTAGACGCAATCGTTTAGCCGTTTTAGTAAGGCCAGCTACAGAGAATACACGTTTGCTAGGTGTACTTGAATCGGGTTAGCTAGAATAGACATATAAGAGTAAGCAGCATTGAATTTATGAATTCTGCCAACTCTATCTTGTAGACAAGTACTACATGAATTGTACAATTTTGTTGACAGCTGTAACTAAAGAAGAACGATTCGATTTTTTATTTGTTTACATCTGATCATTAACTTTACTTTTGTGTTCATTAAAATTTTACTAGATATGGAAATAAGGATAGCATACGGAACGGAATTAACATGTCCCGCGGAGAATGCACTACGTTGCTTAGCAACCGAGCAAACGAACGTTACTCGTAGTTCATGCCATCCCGCGCCGTTTACGCCTATCTTTCTAACCGGTCAGTGGCGGCGTGTCATGATCGGCGGCGTCAGTCATCGGCGCGGCGCGGCGCACACGTCTAGTTGGTATAGATCTTTTGACTCTTTGAAACTTAATAAGTCACAAACGAAGCTCTTTTAAGAGTAATATTTTTTCCCATTTTTGTAACATTTTTCAGCGCTGCTCCATGTACACTCCTTTTCCATTTCTCGAGGACTATTCAACAGGAGGAGAAATGGGCTATTCAACACAAAAAAAACGATTCAATTTGTTCCAATAGTTCCTAAGATTATAGAGTTCAACCAAATAAATAAACTCTTCAGTTTATCATTAGGATAGATAACTGAAAGTGTTTCGCCGAATACTTTAATTAGCCAAATAAATATTGCTCACCAATTTATTCTGCATAGCAGATGGAACGCGCTGACCACAGAGCGATCAAGTCTTCAATTTTAAATTTGTCCATTATATTCCATTACTATTTTTTTACAGAACAATGAAAGTGCCCAGATACACCAACGATGCCGTCCATTGGTTCATAAGCGAGTTGACGTCCAGAATAGTAGCAGAGTCAGGAATACCCAGTGATCGTTATCATTTAGGCAAAATACTAATACAGAGCCTGAAAGATGCTCCAGATTTTCTAACACAGGTGAGAGAAAGCAAGGAAAAAAGACATAACGTTAATTTTACACACACCAGCACGTCCGGTTACCATAATATGTCAAAAAAGCTCCCAAAAGGTCTCCCGTGATTTCGTCAACATATATTATAGCTAATATAGTATAGTTTTTGTGCAATAGATTTTGAATACTTCTCGTAGTACATTAAACCGGCGAGCTGTAAATTAAAATTTTAAAAATCCTTCAAGCAATCTGCTTTTATACAAAGTCTCGAATTAATTCTCATAAAAACTGTAAATCGTCGCCATTATAACTATCTCCTACTTTTGGTTATTATATTATTCATATCGAAGACAAATTTACTTAATCTACCGAAGCAACTTCCACTTCACACTTTACTATAAAAATGTACCCTGAGTCCCGAGCCTATTAATGTCTCCACTGCCAGTGACAGGCCTTATCTATAAATGAAACCGATTCGATAAAGAGAATGGACCATGACCCACTAAACAACCACGTGGGTCCAGTGTGGATTGGCGTTGCAAATGCTGAAGGCATAATCACAACGAGGCGACCAAATTTGATTTTTAATGTGCTTCACTGCAAAACACATAATTTGGTTTCCATAAATCCTGTTCAAAAAATTGGCATGATTTAAATTCCAAAAGGAAACATATTTAATATTAAGCCTTATTAAATCGATGGAGCTACAGACGATAGAGAAACCAGTAGATCTGTATTGGAGCGTAAGGTGCGTTGTGCCAATGCAATGAAAGCGGCTGGTCTTAAAGTAGGGGATGTGGTAATTCTGATGGCGCCTAACCACATAGACCTGGTGATACCTTATTACGCGGCTTTATACCTCGGCGTCATCGTAGCTGCTGTAGATAGGACTTTGGATGCCCGTATGTATAAATATATTTTTCAGGCTCTTAAACATACTTACAAAAGTTCGCAAAAAATCCCTCATAATTCAATAAAGACGTTTGCTTTGATTTCTTTGATTAAAATGACGATATTATCTCGGCCTTCATATTGATTCGGAGCTGAAATGGACAACACAGGTGGCGGAGGTTAGTCGTGCTGTTACTTACTCATTGCGTTCCCTTAATCGTTTCAGAAGTTTTCAGCCTATTAAAACTAAGGTCACTCTTGCTGCCTCCCTTATTCTACCTCTCATTGATTATGCGGATGTCTGTTACTCTGACTTAAACGAGGATCTTCTGAATAAGTTGGACCGCCTTATCAACAATGACATCCGCTTCGTCTTCTGCCTTCGCAAATATAATCATGTTTCTTGCTATCGGTCGCAGCTTAAATGGCTCCCCGTACGTCAGCGGAGACAGTTACGTCTGCTCTGCACACTCTTTTCTGTTCTCTCCAATCCACATTCTCCTGATTACTTAAAATGTAAATTCCAGTATCTTTGCGATTCGCATGATCGACAACTCCGTTCTTCTAACACACTCTCACTTTCCACTCCTCTTTTTCATTCTGGCTGTATGTTCGACTCTTTTACCCTCCAAGCCAAACGACTGTGGAATAGTCTCCCTGCACCCATCAGAAGATCTCCTAATAAATTTATTTTTAAACGTAAAGCTCATGCCTTTCTTATTAAAAATATTTGAAATCCATCATCAGTAGGTATTATGTATCTATATTTGTGCTATTGTATGTATATGAGTAGTTGTGTGTATATATATAGTCAGTTTCTATTTCTATATTCTATGCATATCTATGCATAGTTAATATTTTCTTAATGCTGCCATCGCGTTTATCGTTTTTCCTAAAGATTGACTGGAAGAGAATGCCATTAGCATTAAGTCCGCCTTTTGTAACTTTTTTTTTATTACTGGTCAATAAAGTTCAATAAAAAAATATTATTAGGTATTCCAAATAACGTGTGAAGAAATAAACTTTTGTCAAGTTTCTCTATACCTAATTCTCAGTGGAAGATCTTTTACCGCAGATAAATGAAGTCAATAATTGATCAATTAGTTTTTCGAATTATTAAAAATTAGGGCAAGTTTCGTCTACTGATATATTTTCGATGTTGTTGTTCTAATTGAAGTTTTCGCCATTTCAGAGTACCTCCGTAATTCTTTCAACATCAACAGACCTAGAATGGTGTTTTGTCAAAACGAAAAAGTGTCAGATATTCAACGTGCTCTTGATGGACTAGAACTCGATACACTCATTGTCACGTTTGATAAGGGCGACCTTTGTAGTTTCAATAAATTCCTTGAGCGTGGTATGAACGGTCCTAGTGTAGACGAATTCAGGTAAGAAGAAAATTTCATGACATATTTCTCATGACGTCAATATATCCATACAGAAATTTAGGAAATCAAAGAAGAACAATTATTGAAATATATTCCTCCTATACAGTATTAGTTACAATCAAATAAAAACTACTTCAAATGTATTTAATAAGGATTTTATTTGATTGAATCTGCTGCTGCAGCGCTGTACTTCAAAGACACGTTAGAAGCTACGTTCAGTGCTGTATCTTTCGAGAATACCAAAGCAGTTTCATTAACAATGCTTCAAACACTTTAAATTATAAGTAACATAAAGTTAATAACTTTACGTCCATAAAAGATACTGATATGCATCCGTCTGGTGGTACTGGGGGCCAATTCTACTAATTTACAGCGCTCGATCATCAGTAGCGTTTCTATGACGGGTCCGCTTCAATTGTTGCTGTAAATTTGCATTCTGCTAACATCAATTAACCTCTAAACGTTTACCCTTGCGTGAGTCCGTCTCGCACTTGATTAATTTACTACTTTTTACAACATTAATCCCAAGATTTTTTAAAGGCCTACCGATTTCAACCCTGAAGACACCATAGGTTTACTTATTGCTACAAGCGGCACTACTGGTCTACCAAAATCTGTTGCGGTCACCCACAAAAGTTTAGCCATAAGTGGACCTTATATTTGGCAAGTATTTTCAACAAGTACCTAATAAAATACCGTAAAATCTTTTTCAACACACTATAATCGTCGTTTAATATACGAGCCAATTTTAAGTGATGGACAAGATTGTCATACTTTAATATTTGATAAAAAATAAAACAGAATAATCACCAATGATCGGTGTATATCTGGCTGAAAGTGCGTTACGTCTCTTCGGTTGCAGAATATCAGAATAAGGGGGCCATTTTCGCTCACCAGATGGCGCGACAGTCGCAAGAGTTCCTAAATAAACTATTTCATTAAAGATATCGAACATGCCCATTAAACACGAACCTCTAATTAAGCTGTTCTTTCATCCCGCCTCTTTTTCTTAGCTCCGCTTTTGAAGCACAGATATTTGTTGACCCGTAATTCATAATTACTGTAACGAATCTCAGGTATTTCAAAATAAACGCAAAATTCATTTATGTGAAAAGAAAGGCGCGTAGTTCACTGATAAAGAATGATGCATTTTGAAGACCTCACGCTACACTATTGCCTAAAGTGGCAAATAGAAACACGTTAGCCCTCATTGATATGATACTTCCTTGAGATTATTAGCGGATATTCCGTCATGATATACACCGATCTCAAAAGTTTGCTTAATAACGACACGGAAGCCCCAGAAGGATATAGGTTAATGGAACCAAAAAGTATATTGTAACCGGTTTGAAATAAATAAAACTAATCTTGGATACTTTGATAGTCAAAGAATTAATAAGCTACGCATATTAATAACTTTTGTAGTTTATTACTTACAATAAATGACATATTGTGACGAACTAATTTTAGCTGCAAAGGCTGAGAATAATTATAAAGATATGGCTATTATGAGACAGAGATCTTTGTGTATTTATATTTTAATATTTTTTCATAAACATAGTTTTTCAAACTTCTCAAATTAAATCACAGCGGCTTTTGGTGACATGGCATAGTTTAGTTGGATTGATACTTCTCACCTAAAACATGAAATGTCCGTTTATATGAATAGTGGAAAATGTATTGGTTAGCCTATGAATATTATTATGATATCCGATAATCGTAAACAATTTTGATACACAGGTCGAGATTTCACAACTTTCCAACTCCTACGGAAATAGCACTGGTCGGATCACCGCTGCACTGGTTGACAGCCCTAATTAATTTCTATCTATCTACAATTTTCCGATACACAAGGTTGCAGTCATCAATGGATTTGACGCAGAAACATGCTTACCACTTGATCAACACATACAGAGTAAGTAAATTCACAATTCATAAAATAAAGCGCAGAATAAATGGTATCGTAATTCATGAGAAGGAAGCGAACAAGGTAATATGTAGCGTTTATTAATAAACGTGTATTTGTACCATGTGTAACATAATTAACGCACATTCTGAAATTACTTTGTTTAAAATCAGATACTGATTCGATTTCAATAACTTCTAATATCGGTTTTTTTTTTCTAAATTTTATTGGAATCAAGTAAATTATGGTCTCCTGTAACCATTACAGTCGTCACAAACATAAACTAAACTTAAGTGAATGTAATAAGGCTTTTTAAAATGAATTATATTCTTAGCTTGTAATAAAATATAACATAGGAAAAAAATAAAGAAAAATGAGCTTTCTTTTAATTAGCCTCCCAAAAATAATATACCACAAATAAACATGAAACAAACACGACCGTGGCAGTGTATAATTACTTTATCACAATTTAAGGTTCATTAATTTGAATTAACATGTAGAAATTAATTTATTGATTTAACATTGGCAGATTGTGCGAAATGCACAGGCCATTAATAAAAGAAGTTTATAGAATTTTCAATTTCACACGCCTGGTTTCTTAATTATACTAACGTACAGTAGATACATCGAAATGATTCAGGGTTAGGCACAATGTGGTACTAGATACTTTACTTGCCGTGTGATATGTGATCGCAAGTCTATGCTAGCCGATACTCATAACAAGTAAGAATCATAATTATTGCCTTAACTTAAAAAACACTTTGAATCTCAAAACAGAATTATATTTCATATCGAGAATTTTTATTGGTAGGTAGGTGGTATCATTGTGGTATTGCGCGGTAGTTACAGGCCAAGCCGTAATTTTGACTTCATTGTGTGGATTTGTAAGATAACTGTGTCCATACATAAACAATGTTTTAGTACATAAAAGTAAAATTCCAATTTTCGTTTCATGATTATAAATGTGTTTTCTAGTTGAAAATAGAAAATAAGAATGTGCGTTATCATCAAAGTAGGGTGTTTGACTTATTTTGAAAAATACTTTTAAATTATTCCTTAATACATAATAAACACATGACATTAATATGTCGGGAAAATTAATATTGATAAATACAGTAAATTTTAAATTGCCGAAACTGCGTGATAAAACGCTGTCTGTTATATGCTGTCATTAAATAAAGTAAATAAACACACCTCATCACACTAAAATCTACAACAGCACGCGTAGCATGACGAACTCGGGAACGTTCTGCTACACTCAAATGTCACTTTTCTCAGGTGCGCCCATACTATATGTCACTCTCGACCCGAGAAACTGACAAATGAGTGTAGACAAAGCGTTTCTCGAGTTTGTCATGATACGCGTGCTGGAAGCCATATTTACTAGCGTGCGACGTCATCCGAGTTGCAACTACTTACAAGGCGTTTTCGTCTCAGACAAAATGTCAAAAATATTTGATTTTATTTTGTGTAATCTACAAAAATCTTTATGTTGTCAAATACCCTATTCTAATGTGACCTGTTATTCATTTGCAAGGTAGGTATAAAAAAATACGTTTCATATAGACAAAAGTACCATTCGCTAGACCATATGGCGATACATGATGTAGCTGAAGAGCTACACCATCGTTCTCTACAATCCGAAGAGAAAATTTTAGAAATCAGATCCTGAACACAAACAGCATCTACTGGCATCCATCAAAGCGAGAAAAGGCTTTTAGAATTAAAATGGTGCAAATATTTTTTCCAATTATAACGATACAACAGGTAACTTTCAGTATTATTAATGTAATCCTTATTTTTTTCAGCCTACTTTCACAATATTCAGTCCAACCGCAATGACGACATTGCTAAAATCAGATGATCGGGATCAATGTGACTTCACGTGTTTCGATATAATCATGCTAGGGGGTAGTGCTGTCCCTCGAGATCTTATTGGAGAAATTAAGGTAAAACACACGAAGGAAATTTCTATAGAAACAATACATTGTATAATTTCATAATCTCTCGCGATCCCTTTTAAAAGATACCTTTTATGAAATTATGTAACGATTAAAGTACCAATCGCTTTCCGAACAAACAATATTTTAATAATTTATTATACTCCATTCATTATAGCATTAGACAGAATGAAAATAAGGTTATTTTTATGGTATACTTTGTGACAAAATGTCAACAATCATGTTACTCTTAAGACTAACGGCTAATTTGCTTCATATGTACTTAAATACCAGCTGCTATACTTAACCGTTGTCTTTTAAGCTATATATTAAACAAATTTATGAGTATTTGACTGACTTAAAACCTTTAATAATTATTACAATAAAAAGTGTTCATCTTAAAGAACCTAAAGAAGCAGGGTTAGATAGTTTCGGCACGATTCTCATGTCACTATAACTCTACCAAATTTAAAACGTTGCCTAATCCCTTCAAACGTTTCAGCAGTACAGCTTTTTAATTTTGTCAGATTATGATTTATTCCTAATAGTCAAATACGTAATCTGGGATTGTCATTCATTGTGAATGCTACTGCCTTTCTTGTTGTTTTGTCATTTTCGGTGATTGAGTAATTACTGTTTTATTGGTGTTTTTTTATAGTTTTGTTTTAGTTGTTATCTTTTTGTAGTTAAGTTTTGCTAAATTGCGATTCCGGTGCAGGCCCGAGTGGCCTACAACAATTACCTTTGACATTTCAGCAAGTTTTTCCAATGTCTTAATCAATAGACTAATAATATCTAAATAAATATTATAACAGTAATAACAAAAAAATCATTTTGTTTACCTTTATTTTCTGGGCATAGATACAACTAAATTATATTCTAATTATATACACTTACAATTAGAATCAATCAAAACAACAGATAGTTTTATTTCCATGGTAGCTCTTAGTAAAAGATTAATTAAAAAATTATAGTCTCATCTCAACCCCGAGAAAATGTAAAATTGCCCAACTCTTTCAGACTACCTAAAGTTTAAATTTCAACAAAACTATTATAAATATTTTTATATTTATCTTGTAAATAAAATGTTCTGCACTGCTGCTTCTGAGATCCTCTTTTTTTCTAATGTTATAATGAATGGAGTATAGATATATTGAATGACTAAAAATTTTTTAATAATGTTTCTTTCATAATAAAGTTTTGGTAACTTAAACTCAATGTAATATTTGCGTGTATCTTTTAGCTTAGCGTGAAGCTCGTGAATATCTTTCAAATGTCAAATTAAAAGGACTGCAATCGATTTTAAAATTAGACAATTAGACCCCAAGATTGGCCTGTCTAATCCTAAATCAATCCTGATTTGTCAGTTACGCAGGAAAGCAGCTGTAATTTTTACTAAAAAGTCAGACTTAATTAGTTTTTAGCTTTATTTTCGATGTTAAATAAATGAATTTACTTACTCTTTTGTCGACTATTGATTAAAGTTATATAATTATGCCAACCTAAAATTATGAATATCGCCAGTTTTAAATCTAAACTAACATAAACCTTCGTTTAGAACCCTAATAAACGAGGATAAATAATAGATTTTGGTATTTTCAGAAAATATCACCCGAAGCAGAGGTGACAATCACGTATGGAGCTTCGGAATTGATAACACTTGTGTTCCAAAGCGACAATGCTCCACCTGCATCTTGTGGAAAGCCCGTAGGATGCTTTCAATATCGTGTCAGTATTAAAGTCAAACCAGGAACATCTGATATTTAATTTCTTAATATTTAAATAGCCATGAAATGAAGTGGACAACTTTCTTAAAAGTGTTTCTAATCAATTATTACGGGCCCTTATTCCTGTTAAAAATCATGTGAATCATTAAGATTATTTTGCACTTTTTAAAATTTCCCACACTCTTCCTAAATAGTTATACTACCAATGAGGAATGGATTTCGACATCTACCATCGATGTACAAAGGGTTAAAATCGGATGAGGACATAAGACAGTTTAGTATTACCTGACGTGCGTTAGCTGTACATTAAAGAATGAGGAAGTATTAAAAAAGAATATTAGTTCCCGAAATCAAACTAGATGTCGCTACGGTACGTTCTTGAATTCTCTATGACAACCCTTCCGGTTTTCTTTCATGCTTAAAAGTAAATTAGTTTCAAAACTCGGTAAACAACTCCTATTTGTACTTTTTCGTATTTGTATTGATATCTAAGTTTCGAACTTTTCAAATTTAATTTTTTTTTATATGTTAGTTAAAAGGAACGGAAATTACTGCCTTTGGTCCATTCGTTTCCTGCAAAAATCAACTTTTGCTAGTCGCCATCTAGTGGAGGAGCTTTTTAGTGCTTTCGTTTTTTTTAAATACTTCCTCATTATAATTTCTCCACGTCAGATTTCCGCAATTAGTTTTGAACTCTATTCCTCTTAAATCGAATGTAGAAAACCAGTTTTCCATGACGTTGACTGCACCTATGTAATTTTCTTTTAAATAGCTTCAATCAATAATCATCCGAATCATCGCCATCTTTCATTAATTTCATTTTCATTTTACATATAGAAATTAATTTATTCACTTGACATTGGCAAAATTGTGCGAAATGCGCATATAAGCCATTAATAAAAGAAGAATAATCATCTGAATAAGAAATAGTATTAATAAAGTGTAAAACTCTTTATTCCAGCTAATACATGTTGAAACACAAGAAGACATATTTGAGCCTCGTGTGCCTGGAGAATTATGGGTTAGGGGGCCTGGTATTTTTAAGGTGAGATTTCTAGCTAAATTAAATGATAACAAAACAATTCAAAGGTTAATTCAAACCTTTAAAGGTTTGAATTAACCTTTTATATCGAGTGGCTCGGTGGCGTAGTGGATAAGCGCCGCGGCCGGCGATCGTTGTCGTTAAGCAACTTTCGCAAGGGTCGGTCACAGGATGGGTGACCAAAGAATTATTATCACGAACTACTCCGTGCTTCGGAAAGCACGTTAAGCCGTTGATCCCGGCTGCATTTGCAGTCGTTAATACCCTCCAATCCGCATTGGGCTAGCGTGGAGGGTCATGGCCCATCCTCCTTAACCATTCATAAGGAAGGCCTAAGCCCCTGCAATGGGGACGTAAAAGGGCGTATCTGATAGTGTGGAATCAAGGCGGGTGAAGTTTTGTTATTTGCTCGCCGAAAGTTAGACAAGATCATACGCCCATTTCTTTTCAATACCTTTTGAGTTACAGTTCATTTTGCATAAGTTCAAACAGTACACCTCAATCTTTTATTACAGGAATATTATAATAGCCCTAAAGCGACTGAAGAAGCATTCGCTGAGGGTCGCTGGTTCAAAACTGGGGACATGTTTTATAGAGACGAGAACTGGAATTTTTTCTTCGTCGAGCGTATTAAACTGTTACTAAAATATAAAAATTATAAGGTAAGCATTCCCTAAGCTTTTGTTCTCAATTTTTCCATCGCGCCTAATTTCATGAAAGGTGGGTAGGTGACAGGATCTTATAATTTACTGAACAGAATACAGTTACAATAATTTTGTAAAATCTCAATGCTTTTACAACGCTCTACTCGACCTCAAGTTCTGGGGTGATTTAATTATAGAATAGCACTTTAACACAAAGGTGTAAAGGATGCCTGCATTTAATTATTTTAAGACGACCAACATCTACTCTCATCTAATAATTTTCAAATATACATGTAACCCGCAGATATCGCCTGTTGAAATAGAAGGTGTGATTCGTCAACACCCAAAAATACTGGACGCGGCTGTAACGGGTATTCCGCATAAGGAGCACGGCGATTTACCTGTAGCTTGTGTGGTCAAACGGCCTGGCCTCAATGTCACTTCACAGGAAATCAAGGATTTAGTTAAAGGTTTTTTTGCTATTGTATTTATTTATCAAATAGCTTTTCCTGCGATTACGCCCGCGTAAATTAACCGCATCACATATATTTCATGGATAAATGACTAACATCTATTTTCACTAACCAAGAACAAGGCATAAATGCATTTTCACCTTAGGTGATTGCTATTTATTTAGGCGATAGATATGAGCGGCTCCTAAGTATGCAACGAATAGAAAGCAGAAGTCACACAATAGCGGGTCATGACCCAAAGTCACAAGATACTCACAAAAAAAAACTTTTAATTTTAAGACTTCAATTGTAGTCTTTGTGCAATTTCGTGTCTTATTTTTCACTACCGAAACTACCTCATTAAAAAGTGATTTCGATAAATATAATAGTTTCGACAACATGATCAAATTATGAGACGTTATGTTACGTTACTTTTGATTTGCAAATAGTGCAAAATAATGCCATTTATTTTGGAATTACACATCCATATTATATCAGGAATAATAAAACTTTATTGTCAGTAAATCGTTCCATGTTAGTAGCTAAAACTCAGATAATATACTTCATGAGAAATACTTATGTATATCTTTAAAGAACGTATTATTTAGATGAGACTACTGTGTTATATCATCATTACAACCGACTATATAGGTCCTTACATATGAAATTAACGTTTTGCATCGCAAACCACGTCCGAGTTAACTGCAGGCTGCGGTGTTAGTGATAAAACTGTTTTAATCCACTTGAAGCAAATTGTAAAGATTAAAAAGCTTCAAAGGAGGGTACCTCATGAATTGAGTGAAGCAAACCGGCAAACGCGCTTCGACTGCTGGCTTTCATTACTTAACCGGCACAATAATGAAGGGTTTTTAAATCGAATGAACATTTTAGAATCGAACCTGTGTTGAAAAGTGGATGCTCTACGATAATCGGAAGCGCTCCTCGCAATGCTTGGACCCAGGCATGCCAGTCAAATTCTGCCTCAAGCGTTTGGTGGACTAGTGCCGGTGTCATTCATTACAGTTTTCTCAAATCTGGCTAGACGTCTATTGTCAGCAATTGCAAAACATGCTGGAAGAACTAGCTGTTAAGCAATCGAGGCTGGTCAATCGCTCTACGCCACTGCTACATCTCGACAACGCTAGACCACACACTGCACAACAGACGGCTTCCAAATTAGAAGAGCTTCAATAAGAATGTCTAAGACATCCACCGTACTCCCCGGACCTTGCTCCAACATCGTACTCCCCGGACCTTTTTTCGAAATATGGATAACTTCTTGCAAGGGATAAAATTCAACTTGATTGCAAATGAATTGCATATACCTAGAAAAAAAAATGAATTGCATATGCCTTTGGCTACCTCCATGATCGATATTGATTTGAAATTAGACGACTGGCATGGGCCAACCACTGTGTAATTTCTTGCTTGGTCAATATAAAAAAATGTATATCCTTTCTTAGTTTAGTTTGCAGTTACTCACTTGTTTCAGACTTCTATAATACAATCCCAGTACGGATTGGTGGTTGCTAACGACTGCAGATACACACGGCACCAACGACTTAACGTGTCTTCCGATAGTAGAGAAACTTGGGAAAATACATTTCTCACTATCCTATGACAATCCCTTGCGAGAGTCGTTGAATCTGTTTGAACCCGAATAATCTGTTTAATATCTATTTATTTATTTAATGTTTCAGAGTCACTGTCTGACGCGAAGCAGCTTAGAGGTGGCGTGATCTTCTTAGATAAGATTCCGACGACAGCATCCACAAAAGTACATAGAAGAAGACTCAAGGAAATTGCTATTACAATGAACAAAATATAAAGTTTTAGTGGTAGCATGACTTATAAACAGAGGTCGGAATTAGGTAGAGTTATTTATGTACTTGCATCGAAATGTTGATATTAATGTGGACCTTCCCGGGATTTCTTTATTTCTTTCGTCGTGCGTGCAGTAGTTTAAATAGTGTAAAAGTAAATAACTTTTTATTTAAAAAATCACGGGTTTTTTCCTGCTCTTTAAAATTAATCTCGGGATTTGAGGCATATCCACTTTATTCTTTCGCTGTATGAAATGAGTGTAAGTACATGAATAACTCTACCTAATTCCGACCACTGCTTATAAGTCTATAGTGTTGATTATTGTTATAGTGAATTTAATAAAAAATCTTTCGCTGATGTGAGCATTTTTTTTACTTAAGCCGCTCTCCCAGATCCAATTCCACCATCCCATGTACCCGGAGGTGGGCCTGGTAGATTTTTAAGCATTTTTTATTAGGTACTGATCAGTATAGTATTACGAATGCAAAATTGATCAAATATAATTTTATATGTTATACTGTGATAAAATTAGCCTCAAACTTAACTTCGAGTGCCATTCTGAAATAAAACCTGTTGTGTGGGAACTCATAATAGCATTGCTAGGCAGGCCCGGATCTACAAGGGGGCAAGTGGGGGCTGTTGCTCAGTGTACGGGGGGCGCTAAAAACAACTTTATAAATACCTACTACAATAAGGCGCCTCACGCTTCAAAATCCTATCATACACCGCATAATATGGTAATATACGATCGCAGAGGAACGGCACGATATGTAGTTTCTGCCCCGGTTAAGAAAATCAGGTACGATGCCGTAAATTGAAGGCAATATATGATTTAAAAATATCAGCCGTCTTTTTGATTATAGTTTTTGGTTGCAACTGCCGATAAGACTGCCGTAGCCGAGTGGTTCGCACGCCGGTTTCAAGGTGTCGCCATCTCTGAGGTCTCGAGTTCAATTCCCGGTCGGGTCAATGTAGAAAATAAACTTTTCTATATTGACTCGGGTCTGGGTGTTGTGGTACCTTCGTTGTCTCATATACTCCATAATACGGGGGCTTTAGCTACTCATCTTATTTACTCATTATACTCATTATATTTATTTAATATTTCCAAGCATTCTAAAATGTGGGCAAGAAAGTAATAATAAATAAAAGGAAAATCTAACCGTATAACCAAGAAAATAAAGATTACAATGTGTTACTGTGAGCTAGTTTTATAGCAAAAAGTGACAAAAAGTATTTTATACATTTTATTAATCAATAAAAAATAGTCAATACAACAATATCAACAAGAATTGTAAAAATATAAGTCTGAATTACATTTGAACACGTTTGTTTTTCATACATTTTGTATGTTTCGTTGAACATCAATAAAAATTTTGGACTTTCGTCAAATTTTTATAATCGTACTGTAATTAGATAAATTCACGGATCCACGTAACGTTTTCTTTTGGAGATTCTGAAACAATTTATTTTATTACTTTACTGATGTTTGGTTAGTTTATAAACAAAGTTATAGCCTACGTCACCGAGTATAGCTTTCCGTAGGTGAAAGAATTTTCATGACCGGTACAGTATTCCCGATTATTACCCCCTAAAAACAAACAAAGTTATGAAACTTTCCATTTTTATAATATTAGTATACATGGCACTTTTGAAACTTATTACTTTTTTATGTTTCGCCCGCGTGATTATGACTTGATGAGCCGTAATCATTAGGATAAAACATAGTGTATCGTTCCAGGCTTAGTATTATCCACAAACAAAAATTATATCAAAATCCGTTTAGTAGTTTTTGCGTGAAGATGTAACAAACTGTAATAATATGATAAAAAAAACTGTAATAAAATAAATAAATAAACATACTTCTACTTATATTATTAGGCGTATAGAGCTCTCCTTGCAGTATCCCGGATTCTACCAACCTAACGAGGACAATTTTACTAAAAACCCAACAAAGTGCGAGTTAGATTCGCGCACAAAGGGAACAACGAGCAAAAAAACACGTGTGTTGTATGAGACCGCCCTTAAATATTTGTTAAATTTTAATGCAATTATTTATTTTAAAGTTTCTATATAGATACATATTCTATTTCAAGCTTCTACCTGTTGTTGTTATCCGTATCGATCAAAAACAAGCAAATAATTCATGTTTGTTATATGGGAACCCCCTTAAATATTTATTTTATTCTGATTTTTAGTTTTTGAAGCAGCAACAGGAATATATCTTCTGTGAAAATTTCAACTGTCTAACATTCACGGTTCTTGAGATACAGCCTGGTGACAGACATACGGAGAGACAGCAAAGTCCAAGTAATAGGGTACCCGTATCACCCTTTCGGTACGGAACCCTAAAGGATTGATTACACCGATTTACAAATAATATAGTTATTGTTGTACTAGACCAAGAAAGAGGGTGGGTAACTTAGTCAATATTAAAGTGAGCATAACAGTTATCGTCGGACTTAAACCTTAACTTTAACTATTACGGTGCAATCCAGTCTAAAATTATTAAGATAACATACCTTTTTAAATATATTAGCCATTAGAAGGTTAGTTTTCTTAATATTTTCCTTCTTGGCTTCCTCCTTCTTTTGAACAACTTCAGGTAAAGATTTATATATTTTCTCAGAATGCTTTTTCATTTCACGTTCATTTATAAATTTTGGAGCAACTGGAAGCAAGGATAAGATACATATGAAATGAAATACATTAAGATAATGCTCAGTTATTACTCATCTTCCCATCTAAAGGATATTATGATAACTCATAAAAACAAATTCGTATAGATAGAGCACAAATGTAAATAATTAGTATTAAAAAAAATTGAAAAGAAAAAAAAGTCAAAAACAAAAAATCAGACATGATAACAGACATTACAGACTTAAAACAAAGTATTAAAACTAAAGCAGTAAGGTATCAGGGTTGCGCTGTCCATATAAGCAAACTGTAGTACGGTCGCTGAACATATCGAATTTCGTGCTTCATCATCATCATCATCAGCCCTTTTACGTCCCCACTGCAGGGGCTCAGGCCTTCCTTATGGATGGTTAAGGAGGATGGGCCATGACCCTCCACACCGGCCCAATGCGGATTGGAGGGTATTAACAACTGCAAATGCAGCCGGGACCAACGGCTTAACGTGCCTTCCGAAGCACGGAGTAGCTCGAGATAATCATTTTTTGGTCACCCATCCTGTGACCGACCCTTGCGAAAATTGCTTAACGACAACGATCGGGCGTGGGCGAGCCGCGGCGCTTATGCACTACGCCACCGAGCTAACTTCGTGCTTACTGATAAATATCGTAAACATTTTAGATTCACTTTACTATGAATAAATTGGGGAAATGGACCTGTGCGAGAGGAATAGCAACATAATTGCGCACGAGTGAAATATATGATTAATGACGTTGCATTATCTAAGAACTAAGTTGAACTCACTTTTCTTCTTACGAATTTCCATGCCGAGATCCTCAGCCAGTCGCCGCAGTTCAGTTTCACTCAATGACGTCAAAGATGGCCGCCTGTCCAGCTGTGCTGACAGCAGTTGCAGTTGTGCGGCTCGTTGGTTTGCTCTGTGTATTTTAATAATAAATTTATTCTAAATTTTAATCAACAATGATATTCTTGAAACCACAGCTTTACAGTGTTGGTGCAAGGACAGGTTTTTTTATAACTGTCAATAGATCTAGAGCAGTGATTCTACTAACTACTACTACTAAACTTTTTTTAACGTAGGGGAAATGCAACCTTAAGATTCAAACCAGGGCTCTCCGTCTAGAAAAGGACAGGTTAAAGTGAGGCGGTTTATACCAGGTTTTTACCAGGTAGCCCACCACCTGGTAAGGGGCCGTCCATAAATTACGTCACACAAAATTCATGATTTTAATCCCCCCCCCCCCCCCCGTCTATTTCTATTAAATATTGTTCTAATGTCACAGTTCGTCGACCACGCCTCTCCTAACGTGTGATGTAATTTATGGATGGCCCCTAAAACCCGTTGCGAATATCCTCCCTTAAAGGACCTGCCGGGTCCTACTACTACTACTTCACAAGATTAACACTTTCTGTAGGGATGACAAGAAACCTAAAAATTAAAGTCAAATTCAATAAATAATAATAAAACGGTCTCAATTCGAAACAAAAAAGTATTTTAAGCGATAACGATATTATTATGAGTACAGTGTATCTAAAGATATCTTGAGAAAAGGATAATACAACCAAAAAAGCGATATAGTCCTAAAATATGTAACTCAACTCTTAACTCACTGTAATTTCATAACAGTTAAACTCACCAATTCTTGTTACTTCGCTTTGCATACATTGCATGTATGGATTATATTGATAGTTCATTGGTGGACCTATAACAAGGTTTTAAAATTTCTCTAAATAATGCTATGATTGAATATTTATTATTATTGTCGGTTATTTTGTCTGAACCATACAAACAATCGCAGACAAAAAACATTTCCACACTCACTAATCAAACTCACATTATCTTTGCATTACATCTACAGTAAGATACAACTGATGTGGCTCATTAATATACCTGAGTTTCGAAATTTGAAAATGTCGGTCTATCAGAACGACTCAAGTATCACGCCATCGGCCGATCCACCAATATCCACGCGCCTGATTCCCGCTGAGTGTGAATGAGAATGACACTTAATGCGTTGTATTTTATATGTTATGATTAATAAAATACTGGCATCGCTATAAATTTTCAGAATTGATAGATGTAACTAACCTATTTGCGGAAATTAATATTCACTATGCGCCACATTAGTTGAAATTTAATGTAATTTAATGAGGAAAATGGCACCTGACACTCATATTTTATACTCACGACACAAGGAAGCTTAGCTACTGTGTAATATTATTTATAAAATAAATCTTTTTATTCTAATTAATTTTTAAACTCTTACAAAATCAGCAATCAAAGATTACTTAACAACAAGGTGAATTTTAATCATAAGTGTAAAAAATGTGGATGAATTTGATTGTGATTAAGAAAAATATCTATGCATTTAATAACGTTATCTGCGTGAATGGATGAAACCTCAAACTACTTTAGAGCATTTAAATTCTTAACCTCCACAATACACATTGCAATTATCCACTGGTCTCATACAGTGCGGTGTTTGTACAACAACCATTTTGAGATTAGAAGGTGCGTACGGTCCACGAGGATCTTCATTTCTGAAGTAAGAAAATTTGGTGAGTCTAAGCTGACTACTATATAGGTAAGACGAAACTCGCAATTCTGTTATGTAGTTATCTTTTATACAATTCACTGCGACTGTTCCATGGCGTAATGAATAAGCGCCGCTGTGCGCGATCGTTGTTGTTAAGCAACTTTCGCAAAGGTCGGTCACGGCATGGGTGACCAATAAATTTTGATCTCAAGCTACTTCATGCTTTGGAAGAGACGTTAATCTATTCATATCGTTTGCAGTCTTTAATACCCTCCAATGCGCATAGGACCCGCGTGGAGACTTATGGCCCATCCCTCTTAACGATCCAAACGGAAAGCCTAAACCCCTGCAGCAGGTACATAAAAGGGATAATGATAACTGCGACTGATGTAATTTAATTATTGTGTGAGATGCGAAGAAATACAGAAAGAAAAAGGGAGAAGAGAAATCTGCAACCTGCGGCTCTGAAGTTATTTTTTTGTTAATAAGTTACTGACTGAGCCCTTTAAATCGTGTAATCGATCCATAGTTGAGTACCCATACTATAATATAAATTAATTTAAAGTCATTTATATTACTTTATAAAATAAAATCCCAAATAAATATTGCAATAATAATAAACGAAATCTTTCAAACTGTGATACTTGTAAATTGTAGCGTTAGCTCTTCCGTCAAATAAGTTAACAATGCCTATTTTCCCTACATAAGGATATATATCCTATATAAGGGCTATGTTATAGTTAGGGTAACTATGTAGAAGTAATGACTGAAGACTGAATGAAGAACAGTCATGTTGAATCATTCTGCTATGCTCCCTTTCGGCTCCAACTACGCATGAACGAGTAGAGATGGACAGGATATCGCGATCTCTTTCTAACTTATACAGCTGGGAGACTCGCTTGCCTACTCTGACTATAATACCTCTTTACAGTTATTCCCACTGTCAATAGATGACGATAATTTTCTAACTTTATACTTAATCGATATTAATATTTCCATATATATATCTTCAAAATATTTTTGTCTAAAATAAAAAGGGGTTCGACTTCTTGCACTAACTTTTTAATTTAGAGACAAAAGCATTCAGTAGATTATTATTCAATTTCATAATTCAGTACAACACTTGATTATAATTACATAGACGTATTCTATGCCCGTCTGTAGCAATATGCATAAAGATTTAGCATATCGCATTAAGAGCTAAAAAAAATATTAAAGTTATTAAATTAATATGGACATTAAAAATATTAACATTGGTTGAAAATTTGCATATTCTCTTGACAATCGAAATTAAAATAGCCGAAACATAACATTTTAATACGAAAAATAAATTAATAAACAAACATTAATCCTTACCTCATCTCACTAATGTGCTTCAAAGATTCCTGCCGGTGAGAACTCTTCTGCACAAAGTCAGGGCGGTTTATTTCGAGATATTCTTTTACTGTGTAAACCTTGTTTTTTTTCATGCAATCATCAAAACTAGACATCTCACTCTCATTGGGCAAACTACTCGATCTCAAAACTTTCGGATCACATCTAGGACTACATTGAGGTAAGGTTTTTTCTATTTTAGTGTATACTTCCTTAAATGGTGCGTTTTCATATTGTTTTCTTTTTGGTGGCACTTTCACGACAATATTCCTCAGTGGCTTTGTTTCGTTATTCACTATAGTCTCTTCACTAACCATGCTGTCAGATGTCTGTATTATGAGGTTGTATGCCACACATTTCTTTCTGATTTTGTCAGCTGACGTTTTCATTCTATGACATTTATGGCTTTTGTATGGACAATGGTGATTTCGTTTGCACTGTTCGCATGTAACCGAAGTGCTACTAGAAGCTTCGCATTTTTTAGCCCCGTGACATTTACACCGCTTTTGATGGTATTTTTCACATTCCCTTTTGATTTTACTCAAAACTTTACATGTGGCCGATTCAGACGACGTACTAGGAAACTCGGTAGTGGCTTGAATTTCCGAGGACTCGGAATAATTGTTATGACGATTAGAAGTCCTTGGCGATGACTGTACAGCTTTGTCTTCAGTACAGGGTGGATCGACTAAAGGTGTTTCCTTTTCAGATGATTTAGAAGCACTCTGTTCTTGTAGTCTCTTACTGCATTCACATTGTTTTTTGTCTTTTTTTATGACAGTGAGAGGTTCTTTTTCAATCTTAACTGATTCCTCAGAAACTGGGTTTACTTTGGCTGATAATGTATTTCTTTCGTTTTTACTATATTCGTCATCAGTATTCCGTGTACTTGAACTATCCGATAATTTAAGTTGTTCGAAATCAGTACCATCTTCAGTATTTAAAAGATAATTCAAGACATTCATTATTTCTTTATAACATTTCTTTCTCTTAATTCTGTCAACATCCCGTTTTGTATAACGTTTCGTTATATCTTTTATAATGTCCATTATTGGATCATCGCTACTTGATTTTCGACCTTGCGCCTCTGATGAACTATCTTTTAATTCGTTAGAGCTTTGAGAATCAGATTTTATAGAGCATACTTTGCTGTTCTTGATTTTATCTGAATCAATAGCCTTTGTAGCCAAGGACACCTTTATAATATCTTCTTGTGTTATAAAGTTATTTTTGTCTATCTTATCTGTTTGGACATTTGTTGATACCATTCTTTCTGTATCTGTGTTAGAACGAAGAAATGGTTTTGGATTAATTTGAGTAATTTTTGGATAAGTGTGACTTTTAATATCACTTTTGATACAAGGTTTAATGGTACATTGCTGATAAAATGCTTCTTTATATCCATCATTCCTAGGCAAATTCCTCTCTGTTGGCGTTTGTTTATCAATAGTAAAGGATTCTTTGCCAATCATTGTAAAAATATCTATAGCATGTGACTGAACGCCTTTAGTACATTCTTCAGATAAACATGTTGTTTTTTCACTTATCTCAACGTTATCAGTACCCACACCGTGAGTTTTAATTTCATCGGTTTTTGAATCTATTCGTACCATTAAAGTCATATTGGTTCCTTGTATAGGTATTTTAAAATTATCAGAAGTTAGATGATCTACTTCAGGTATTGAATCTGGAACTACTTTATTGTTATTAAGTTCTAAATTGGATTGAATTTCTTTGTTCAATTTGCTAGTTGTGCCAGCATTATGCCAATTATTTTCCTGTGTACTTTTTGTACATGATTTAACACCATGATCAAGATTCTTTTTGTTAAAATTAGAATATGTGACATCACTTTCTGAACTACATTTTACAATTTGATCACTTATTAATTTTTCACATTCTATATCAGTAAGAATGTTAACATCGGTAAGAGAAAGATCAGATATTCTTGGGTTAATACTTATTTCAGTTTGAACACATCTAGTTGCTTCGCTATCTATATTTTGCAGTTTATTATTTTTAATTTTCGCCAAAACATCACATTTTTTCTGTTCAACTAAAGATGATGTACTAGATTCATTTGATTTTTCTTTTGGCAATTTTATGTTAGTTTGAGATGATTTTGACATTCTTTCCAAATCACTTCTATCACTAGATCTAGTGCTCTGAATTTTTGGTGACATCATATCATCTGAGAATTTAGAAGTTGATGGTTCATATTTATTATCATACCTAGGAGTTGACTGATGATTACCCATACATTGAATACCTACTGTATTAGATGTTTTGGAAGTGTAATCTTCTAATTGAACAGCTCTATTTGTCAAACGTGAACACTTATATATCAGCATATTTTCTGGAACTTCTTGTGTGACAGCAGGTTTCTGACTGCACAGACATACATATTTTATTTCCCCAGAAGCATCATCAGGTATAACATGTGCCACGTTTTTAAAGGGTTCTCTATTATGTTGATGAATATTGCAAGGCAGTACCACATGCCCTTGACACATGTCTTTGTCCATAGAGTGTTCATTACACCTTATATTAACTTGTACCGAACTATCAACAACGCCAACTTTAGATGCAGTAAAATGATGTGGACAACAATGCTGATCCTCCATAGTATGACTCGGTTTTGCATGTTTCATTTCATTCTGCAATCTTTTTTTCAAGTTTGCTTTACGGTTATCATCAGAATTACCCGACGACAAGGTAAAAACGGAATGACTCCTATGTTTCCGAAAACCATCTCCTCTTTGGATATCTAAATTTGAATTGCTACCCCCCTCTAATTTACTAGCGTCACCAGACCCATCGTCATAGTTATTTCTAGTTAAATCTTTTATCAGGTCTTTTAGTCTATTATTAACTTTTTCATCAGGTTGCGATATTTTAAATACTGTGTCAGAGCTTACAAGCTTTTGTTTTAGAAACAGTTCTTTATCTCTTAAATGTTTTCTATATGCTTCCTCTCTTCTCAGTGCTTCTAGATACTTCTGATACAACTCTTCCGATGACGTTTTTAGAAATACAGTATCAGAAGAGTCTTTGCCTCCACTAGAAACATCTGATTCTGTATTGGATGTTATTTGCTTCAGAGAGTTTGGAATTAAAAGTTTTTCACTACTAGATGCTATAGGTAAATTAGGGGCACTTTGTGATGTAGATGCTAGGATATTGGAATTAAATTTATCTAGCCTTAATATGGATTTCTTTGGTCCAGGAAGCTTTGGTTTTAATTCAGTATTATTGCTATCTGAAGTGCTAGTTGTTAAGTGACCTGAAGGTTTGAGTGAACCCAAACCTAACTTCTTACTACTAAAGCTTAGACCAGACAAAAAATCTGTTGTACTATCGTCATCACGATATCTTGACTTTAATAATCTTTGTACTACTTCTTTAACAAGTTTATTTTTCAACTCAGAGTCATTATAATGTTTTTGTAAAGCAACTTTAAGAAGGTCTATGCTTTTTTCTAAGTCTTTAGAGAAAGAATGCTTCGAACTCTTGCTTGAATCTGTAGTTACAGCCCTACTAGATTCCAAACTTGATTTATTATCATTATTATTATTTGGCGGTCTAGTAGAACCAAAGTTATTTTGATTTTGATTATATATGTGTCCAGGCATGTATTCAAAACTTTCAGCGGCGGATACTTGTTCAGTGTTTTTTTCTTGAATTGGAATATTTTCTTTATTAATATCAAACTTCATTTTATTTATTTTGAGTTTTCTTCTTGCTACATTCCCTCTTTTTCTTCTATACCTTTTTTTAAGAGTGTTCAAATTTATTAGCACTGTATTTTTCTGATGGCCATACTGTTCTGATTTCAACTGAGCAGAACTACCAAACTTTTCTTTAGTTTTTATTAGTGACGTTTGTATTTCTTTATCAGTTTTCATATTGGGGATTACTTCTTGCTCCATTTTTTCTTCATTTGGTGTAATATTGATATCATTTTTAACATTATCAACAGAAAGTTTACCACTTTTGTCCATATTAAAAGATATGTGTTTAGTTAAGTTAACATTAATAGATTGTGAAGTTCTTGTCTCTGAACTTTGAGGCACATTAACTTCAACAATTTCAATGTCTTTTTGAAACATTTTAGTAGTTTTTCTTGTAGCTCCTTTTTTATTTTTAGGTTTGATATCAATGTCCACTGGTGTTGAATGAGCAGTTGGAGGTCCAAGTTCAGTATCTTCTTTGGTATCATTATTAGAGTATTGTTGTTTCAAAGCAAGTCTTTCTAACGTACTTAAGCTTGATGCAGATCCTTTTTTATCATCGTTAGCATATCCTACATCAGCTAGGGAATCCCATTCCAACTTGCGTTGCGAAGTGATACTGCTAGTTGGTGATAGAGGTTTGTTCATTGATGTATCTAAGTGTGCATCCATGGCTAAAATAAAACAATATAATCAATTATTTTTCTGTACCGAAAATTAATTTAAAGTAATTATTAAACACGCTATTCATTCTATACATACACACATCGACATCGTCTAGGGATATTTTGTATAAAGTTCTAAATTCAAAAAATACTGGCTGGTTTTAAAATCTTATGATGAAAACTTATTTATTACGCCTTTTTTTGATGATTTCAAATTTGAATTAAAAAAATAATAATTTCAAACAAAAGATTTGCGCGGCATTATTCAAGCGAAGTTCGAAGTTTTCAATTTACCCACCATTTTTAAGCTTTTGAAGATTTTTTGTGTTAATCGATAGTTTTAAAACAAGTTAGCTGTTAAATTGAACTTGTGTTACCGTATGCATTATGCAGCGACGCCATTTAACAAGAGAGGAAATGTTAAGGGCAGTAGGCATGCTCCAAACTGGGGCTACTCAACGGAGTATTGCTGAGGACATCGGAACAAAACAAAACGTGATATCACGGTTATGGTCATTCGTGCTACTGGTGAAGTGTCTGAAACACGCCTAGGCAAGCGCACCCAACGACAAGACCGATTTTTGCAAATTGCTGCGACAAGGCAACCAAATGTTATGGCCATGCGGTTGGTTCAAAGGCTCCAGTCAGAGCACCAGTTGCTTGTGAGTGACCAAACTGTGACGAGAAGACTGCATGAAGCTAATCTTCATGCTCGCAGACCGCATCGTACTCCTGCACTACGCCGAGGAAATCGTGGAAGTAGATTACAGTGGGCTTGTGAACATTTGCTCTGAGAAGGTAGCCATTGGCCTGTAGTGCTGTTTACCGAAGAGGCCCGATTCGGTTTCCATCCTGATAAGCGAAAAGTCCCCACACAGCGCGAGTGTTCACCAACTGGCTGCAGGAGCACGATGTATCGGTCTTAGACTGGCCCGCGCAATCACCAGACCTAACCCCATAGAACACGCGTGGGACAAGCTCCAAAGAAGGGCTTTGAGGAAGTTACTGTATTATATGGGTCATTCCACAAAAATAGTACCACTCATTGTCCGCGACACATTTCATATACTATGATTAGTAATATTTTGTTCCAAAATTGTTAAGTAACAGCTCGCAAAGTGTTCTATTCGTTACCCATAAATTTAGAAATAAATATATTTAAATAAATCCTAAATCTCCCCTAAAGACCCCAAAATATCAGTCCCTAGCCATGTCCGCACTCCAGAAATTTATGTTTGGGCACCCATGTTTATAGATACATCAACTATATACTTAATTCTATTTAACAATTATCTAGTTTATCGTACAAACACTAAATTCTATTAATATTTTTTAGTTTCAATAAAAAAATCATTCGATTTTCTGAAGTTAAAAAAGTGTCCTCGATTTTTTGCGTCATTCCCTAGCCACGCTAAAATTTACAAATTTCGCGCCATAATATGAATAAATAGTGAGAAACGTCTAGCTGATTTAAAAGTACGACACGAAGTTATCCTCATGCCATACTCGCCGAGCAGCCGCCATTTTGTGAATTGAGTGCAAACGTGCCAGTTGTTACCCGGAACACGTGTTGATCCAGTCACTTTATCATTCCCTCGGTGAGTAGTTTCATTGTTTATTATAGAAATTTGATGATAATTAAACAATATTTACGTATAATTTGTCGATTTTCTTTAGTACATCGTATTTATTTTCTTTTATTAGAAGAGTAAAACAAAGATAAACTTGTTTTGCCGTCATGCAGGCTAAAAAAGGTTCTATCATCATTTATGGGTCAAGGTATACACTACTATAACAAAATACCTATGGAAATTTTAAATCTATCATTGCCCAATGATAAATTTAAAACTTCGAATTGTCTACTCAGTAAAGGATATTTTACTGTAAATGAATTTAAACGACAAAACTGCTTGGTGTTAAATATGGCTCATTTATCATGTATGCGCTTCTATGACTAAACATGTGATTCGATTGACGTAAATACTGTTTTACTCTTATATTTTCAAATATTGTAATGGAAAGTGACTTCATACTTTAATGAAGTAATTTTTCAATCTTAACGCTCTGTATGAAATAAAACAGGGAGAAAAAAGCAGCCCTTGCCGAGTTTCTTGCCGTTCTTCTCGGTACAAGGTCTCCCGCCGTAGATTTACGAACCGATGGCGTAGCTCTCGACTTTCACAAGTCCTTGTAATAACCTAGCCTAGACTGAATAAATAATTTTGATTTTGATTTTAGAAGTTAAACTGCATTTGTCTTAAGATATACTCCAAAACGTCAGTCCCTAGCTTTTAAATATGCTAGGGACTGACGGACATAGGGAATGGTGTTAAATATATTGTGATATAAACAAAATATCTAAAAAGTTACATTATAAGCGAAATGACCTAGAAACTTAATACAATGATATTAAGGGACAAAAAGAAATATAGAATTTATGTGATTTATATAAAAATGTTTAATAAAATACATAATATTACTTTTCAACGATTTGACTATTTTTAAAGACAAGAGAAAATTGATTTTTTATTTTGAAAACAGGGAAATTATAGACTCATAATAATTTGTTTGAGGTTGTTGATCACAATATTTAATGATTAAATGTTATTTTTCCATTTATCAGAAAAATGCCACCTTAAAAGAAGCCAAAATTGTCCAAAGTTGAAATAGAAAGTAAAAAATTAGCAGCCGTAAAAGCTCGATTAGAAAAAATCAACAGCGATCCAGTTCTGTTAACAGAATCTAAAGAGAAAAAAACTGAAATATTAAAAAAAAAAGAGAAGGGACAACGTTAATTTATTTAGGATATGACCCCAAGAGAGCGGAGAAAAATTAGAAAAAAATGGAAGAAGTATTCAACTGATTACAGAAAGAAGAAAACAATTAGAAAAAATTGTGAAAATTATGTTGCTCAGAATACGCCACCTACATCTGAAAATGAAGAGAATGTAGCTCCAGAACCTATCAATTACTCCAAAATAATATCAATAACGAAGACCTTAGACAATGGAAGCTAAACGAAGAAGCCGATATCAACGAAAGATAAGAAATAAAGTTTTTCAATGAATATGATTCATTGAAAAACTCAGCCACGCAATTTGATTATACAACTAGAAAATGATCTGCAAATTTTTTTCCAACATGAAGTTAACATTGTTCATCAGTACAATAATTTAATATCTCTAAAACAGTCATTGACGGAAAGAGACGCAGTGATACATAAGGACTTTTCTGAAAATTTTAGTACAAAATGTAATCAAGAAATTCAAGCTTATCATTTTGGGGGTTCTCGCATGCAAAGTCCTATACACACCGTAATGGTCTATACAAAAGATTCCATTTCTTCTCATTACATTCTCTCTTCAAATTTATTTCACAATGTTGCAGCCATTTGGGCCCATTACAACCAGTGCTCGCGTCTCTACCGCCTAAGCCTTCAAAGGTACACTTCTAGTTCATCAAGTTACGGGACACATGTATTCTCCAAATAAACTTATTATAAAATCATTGAGCTATTTCTGCAGCACAACTTGCCACCATCATAAATTAGGAGCTCTGGAATACGCCAATCAATCCAAACGTATCAAAGTAGTTGAAATTTATAATAGTACAGATTCTGAAGACGATATTCCTTTACAAAACCTACGTAAAAGCGAAACTATTGAACAAGCAGACATAAGTAAGAGTTTAAAAGATAAAGTTAGAGTGACATATGACAGTGGTGATGTTTAGTAAAATTTATGGTGAAAAAGAAAGAATACCGGTACGCCGCAATTTGTTTATATTCTGATGATGAAGAAGGAGAATTAACTGTTACATTCCTTAAGGTATGTAATAAAGATGGAAACTTATTTAAATTAGATGAATGTGATGTCACTGACTTACTTTATGAAGAGGCGATTGAAAAACTGCCAGTACCCTGTTTGATTGTCAAAGGTGATAGTGTTTACAATTTTAAATAGGCTATACATATTTTTTTAAAGTTACATTATTTTATTTAATTTTTATTAAGTCTTCTATGTTACTTATTATAGTGATACAGAAACTGATAAGTTCAAATTCTAAGACTGAATATTATAACCATCAAAAATTTTGTTTGCTTTTGGTTAGTTTGAATGATGATTTTATTTTAGGTTAAGCCTTTTTGTTTTTACTTTTATAATGTTACGTAAAATAGTATATAAAAATATTATGTTCTACCTCAATTATTTTAGTAGTAAAAATCTTTGATTGTTGAAGAGTTTGACTTTATGTGCCTGATTTTTTGTCCGATTATTATTAAAAGAAGAGTATTACTAATTGTTACACTTAAAAAATTCCATTATTTGATTATTATTTTTGTTAAGAAGTGTTAACGAACTATCTTTTTGTCTAATGTGATTATATTCAAAATATTTTTCAAATAAATATGATTCCAAATGTATACCCAACATATTTTATTACAATATAATTATTGTTTATCAGTCCCTAACAATACCTATCAGTCCCTAGATGCCGAAATTTGAAAAACTAAACATCTCTTAAAATAAAGCATAAAATGTCTGGCCCTTTTACATAAAAGATAGTTAATCAACTACATGTAATGTACACTACTCAAGTATTCAAAAGTATCAAGACAAAACAACATCAAAAGTAACCCGATTTTTGTGGAATTACTCATATATAGGAATTTAATGTAATTTACTGTAGAGCTACTTTTTTGCATCTTTCCAGGACCTGGGACAATATCCTGGAGCAAGACTTTTATAAGTTGATTCGAAGCATGCAAATCATTACAAAACCGTTGTTAACGTAATGGGTGGTTTTACTGACTATTGATTTTCGCAAAATTGCAAATAACGGAATAATTTCGCTATATTTTTCACTTTTCTCTTGAAAAACACATTTGTCATTATTTTACTTTTCGTCTTTACTTAATTAATTTATTTTTAGGTACAAAAAAATATTTATGTTTTATTCTTTACTCTATGCTAATAAATGGGCTTTATAAAAATATAAACATGTTGTAAGTTATTCAGAAAAAAAAACTGAGAAAATTAAGAATAATTAAAATATCCCTAGACCAGGGCTTCCCTAACTGTGCGTCGCGACGCCCTGGGGCGTCGCGGCAATGGCCCAGGGGCGTCGCGTGTTGATATATCGATGCGACTAAGTCAAGTGATCGCCGCATGCATAATGTCAACGCGACGCGAACGCGGACATATGTGACATATTTAACAAATTAAATGATCTTAATAATTGTTTGCAGGGAAACAATACTCACATCCTGCAATTGGCAGATAAAATTACTGGGTTAAAATTAGTTACACTTATGGAAGAGAAAATTAGAAGATCAAGTAATTGACTGTTTTATCGATTATTCTAGTAGAATACTTTATTGCTTTACAAAGTATTCTACTAGAATAATCGATAAAAATCCTTGATCCTTCCTTAAAAATAATATTTACATAGCACTTGCTCTCACTAAGCGAACACTTTGAAAAATATTTTTTCGATAATCTGGAGCAATATGACTAGGCTTACTTAACTGGAGCCCCGTTTTAAGAAACTATGCTCAGAAAAGCAAGCACATCCATATTATTAGAGCCAGCCAGTTAGTTACATCTCTTTTTTTATGCTTATGACTTATGTTTTGAATTTGTTTTCATTTATTAAAAAATATAAAAGTCAAATTCGTGTCTTCCTGATAACCTGTTACTAGGTTAGTACATACAAAAACTGGTTAGTATTTTTGGGGACTGCGTTGTGGGGCGTCGTAAAAATATGGCAAAGACCTAAGGGAGTCACAGTACAAATAAGTTTGGGAAGCCCTGCCCTAGACAATGTTAATATAGACACAAATCTTGTTGGCTAGAGGATAATCTGCAATTAGATGTCCTACTTAACTTCTTTGATGTGAAATTGATGCAGATTTTGGTGTTACAACCACATTTATTTAATTTGTTGTACTGAGTAAGTTGCAAAGTTTTTATGTAAGGTGATATTAATTTTATGTACACAATTTTATGCAGTTACTTCTACTACGGCCAACCGTGAAATGTGTGACGTACACAAAGGAAGGAAGGAGTCAACAAAGAGTATCAGTGTAACAAGGGGTAGGCCCCTTGTTACACTGATTTGTCACATGATTTGTCACATCAATTTCAAAAACTATATATTGAATGAATATACTTTATTGCCCATTAACACATAAACATGAAAACAATTTTTATTAGAAACATCGATGCAAAAGGCGGCCGTATTGCTAAGGTAGCAATCTCTACCAGGCTAACCTTGACTAAAAGAAACTATACCGATTTAGTAAAGAGCGGGCAAGTGTATTAAAGAAAGATGAATGTGAAAATTCTTAAAAGTAAATACATATACGAATATAATAAAATATACATAACAATACAAAACAGAATACAATTTCAGGAAGATGAATCCAGTTTGAGGAAATGTTCCTTGACATATTTAACAAAGGACTCTCGTGATTGTGCGCGTCTGATATTTACCGGCAGTGAGTTCCACAGTTTGATAGCTCTGATATAAAACGACTTGGCTACAAAATCAGTTGTATGAGGAGGGATCACTAAGGAAAGGTTATGGGAAGACCTCAAATCTCGGAGAGAATTAGAAGAGTGAAAAACGAAGCGATCTTTAAGATATTGCGGTGTTTGAGGATTAAAAAGAATAGAATTAAGAAGCGATAGGATGTGACAGTCTCTTCTACGAGAGATAGGTAGCCATTGAAGTTGGGTACGATAATCAGAGATATGGTCATACTTGCGTAGACCAAAGATGAAACAGATACATAAATTCTGAAGACGCTCAAGCTTATTTAGATGTATGACACTTAGGTCAGAATAACAGGAATCAGCATAGTCAAGCAGTGGGAGAAGCAGGGATTGCGCAAGAGTGATTTTTGTCTTAGTCGGCAATAGATTCTTGAGTCGTTTGAGCGAGCTATATGCATTATATAAATAAAGAAATTTAAACTATTTGAAACTTTTTTAAATTATGTTTTTCAATGAAAATAAAACTTATTACAGAAGTGCTGTAATAATTATATTATTTGTGTAAAAATGTAACTTTTATTCAGAATTATTTTGTCCATTGAATTTAGAAAATCATGAAATCTAAATATAAGTATATAATTCAACGGTGACTGACTGACTTAGTGATCTATCAACGCACAGCCCAAACCACTGGATGGATCGAGCTGAAATTTGGCATGCAGGTAGATGTTATGACGTAAGCATCCGCTCAGAAAGGATTTTGATAAATTCTACCCCCACGGGGGGGCAAAATAGGGGATGAAAGTTTGTATGAAACTTTGTCAATTTTAAACCAATCGGGCTGAGAGTTTGGCTGAGACTTTGCATGTATAAAGATTACTATGACGTAGGCATCCCCTAAAAAAAGATTTTGATCAATTCTACCCCCAAGGGGATAAAATAGGGGATGATAATTTGCATAAAACTTTGTCAATATTAAACCGATCGGGCTGAGCCTTTGCATGCATAAAACTACTATGACTTAGGCATCCCCTAAGAAAGGATTTTAATAAATTTAACTCCTAAGGGTTAAAATAGGGGATGAATCTTTATTTACACGTTATAATGAATAAATATTCTTTGGAAATGCTGCTTATAGTAACTTTACCACGCAGACTGAGTCGTGGGCAAAAGCTAGTGCATATATATGGATTTCTCCTAGATTAGGATAGACAACTTTAATACAATGTGAAGAAATTGAAATGAGAATTCAGTGAGTGAAGTTAGATTAGAGACTTAGCAGGACTAACAGGACTAACATATGTCTAAGTCGTACTATGATGGCTGTCCCATCTCTTGTCAAAAGGCATTTATGCAATTTGACAAAAGTAGAATGGGACATTGGCAAATGACTGTTATACTCTAAGAAGCTGTTAGATTATGTATACATACATTTCTGAGACTGGTTATCTTCATTCATAAACTCATCATCGGTATGTCTTATTTCAACATCTTCATTGATTATAGGTGGTGAATCAGAGTCACTCTTTGTTTTTGAGTTTTCATCCTGAAATTAAAGTTTAAGTGACTTCTACTTTTTAATCATAAACAGATTTTAAGGATTGCCACCACAAATCTTATATTTATCAAGTACCTGATATTCTAATGTCATAATCACAGAGTAACAGTTCAATAAAATTACTCCCTGATAATGGTTCTTGCAACTGTTTTGAAATATTAGGAACTCAGAAAAATGAGGTAACAATTCCATAATTAACAATTATTCATATGTTAATAACCATAAAATCTTAGAACAAAGGTTTAGGTATACTAACTTCTTTTATGATTTTCAGTAAAAGAGGTCTAATAGTTTTGCTTTTCAATGTAACTCTACAAATATTCTAAAGAGGTAAGATGTGATTGTTTAGATGTGTTTTGCATATAAGAGGCTCTAAAACCACAACCAATTTTATAAATTCATTCACCTACAGGAAGCTACATGATATGTGTGACAGGTTATAATTTATATATATATAGTTATAATTTATATTTATGGATATTATGAACTTATTACTTTGTGATTTAGGTTGTTATGTTTGTCTGGACATGTTTGGCTTTTTAGGTTGTTTCTGACAAAATATTAATATGTAAGTTTGTTAGGCTTTTTTTAGTGTAATGCAATGTACGCAGTGCTTGTAAAATTACCACAATGCAAACTATTATAATAACCAATTTACCCGAGAACTACAAGGATCCGGGATACGGCATTCAATTGATATCCTACACAGTTCTGTTGAAGATTCGCTTTTCCTATCTACAGAATCTGACGAGTCCTGAGATTTCATTTTCCTCCAAAAGATACCAGACACGTCTCTTACTTCACTATCAGCCGTCGACAAGGAGAAATATTGTTCCAAATCTCTTTTACGTCCGAATTTCTTATAATAATCGAGTATCGATGAATTTACAGCAGCACAAGCCTCGTCAATATTTTTAACGTTCTGATTGCCATCGAGTTCATTACTTTCCATTGTTCACAATTGATCCATGAGATAGAATTCATTTGCGTATAGTGATTTAACTAATCATAGGAGGCAGACTAATCTCGCAAAAAAATGTTATCTCGTACCATTTTTAAAATTACTGAATTTATACAATACCACACAAACAAACAAAACACAAGCGAAGCAATAATCTATGGTGTCAAAAATGTGACGGTTAAATTTTGACGTTGGTATTTTTTCTTTGATTATGACCAAAGGATCGTTCTTTATAGACCATCAATATGAGATAGGATATCATCACTATTTCTTGATTGTATGCTTTTAATTTTCTAGTTTTTTGATTACAATATGGATCTATAAATATATAAATAAATAAATGTTCGCTTTGTTTATCATCAATTTTACTGAAACTACTAATCATAAGTCTTTGTAAAATATTAAAAAATAGCAGGTATATGGCATCTTTCCATCTTTCTTTTGTTTAGGAATACACGCAATATAATTTTGATCATTCTTTAAAAAAAAAACTGCTATTTTAACTACGATGTAACAACGAATACACCACTGGTTTACCATCATTGAAAATTGTATCTATTTTTTAACACTTACAATAGAAAAAGTTTTCCCCTTGATGTGAACTCCTTGAGTTTATAATCATACTCTTTGCTAAAAGTTCTATACTTTATATTTCAATGATGACATATGTTATAAATTGATATTGTCATACTCTCTTATGTTAAATAATTTGCTCTGTTTTAAAGCATAATAAAACCAAGTATCTAAATTGGTATTGTCTTTTCTTGTATCAATTTATTATGCTTTAAAGTGTTTTTCGAATTCAAAATGTCTGAGGACAAAGTTCTTCCGCCTTCTGGTTTGTCACGCTACCTACGTCCGGAACGCTTCGATACAGTTCCTTCAACTGACGGTTCCGATTTGAAATGGGCGCATTGGCGGTACTCATTTGAAAATTTTCTTAAAGAAGAAGCTTCACCCGTCTCTGAAGAGGTAAAGTTAAAAGTACTTATTAATCACGTGTCGTCGACTATATTCAATATAATACGAGAATGCACGAAGTACAGTGATGCTATCACGTTGCTTAATGATACGTTCGAAAGGCGAAAAAACATTACACTAGCTCGACATCTACTTGCCTCTAGAAAACAACAAGCAAGTGAATCTATTGCTGAGTATTGTCGAACTCTGACATCCCTTGCATACGATTGTCACTACAAAGCTGTAACAGCGGAGGAACATCAGAACGAATCAATACGTGGTGCATTTATTGCGGGATTATCATCCCAAAGAATCCGCGAACGTTTACTTGAAAAATCTGAGTTGTCACTGCCACAGACACTGAATCTCGCTATCTCACTAGAGACTGCCGAAAACACGTCCTTAGTTCTACAATCTAACACTGCACCGTCTCTAAACGTTATGACGAACACTACGCCGAATTTAACGGCTACAACCTCACGCTCTGGCACATCTTCAAGAAGGAGATGCTTTTTCTGTGGTGGGACCGTGCACCAAAGAATAAAATGCCCTGCATATAATGCACAGTGTCAGTTTTGTCAAAAAAAAGGACATTTTGCGAATGTCTGTCGAAGCGCTGATAAAAAACAACCGATCGTTAACGTTGTAACCACAGAAGATACACCAGAAGCTTCTCCGTCTAGCTTACTACTCTCCATATGCGCTGCTGCTCCTTCTAGCTTACGTAAGGCAACAATTTCCATCACTATCAATAATCACAAAGCTGACGCCCTAGTTGATACCGGAAGCTCCATTAGTTTTATTGACAATAGCCTAGTAGAGCTAATGAAACTTAAAAGAAAATATTGCAATCAAGCTGTAACCCTAGCTTCACTACATAATGTATCACACGTCAATGGTCTATGTCACGTTACTATCCAGATTGGAGATAACGTTTATAAACAACAGCCATTGTTTATCATAAATAGCTTATGTGCTGACGTGATCATAGGACATGATATCCTAAGGACACATTCTTCTCTTGAATTACAGTTCGGTGGTGAAAAGGATCCATTGAAAATCTGCAACGTCCTGGAAGCTTCTGTGCCGCCTGTATCAGTGTTTACTAACCTTTCGCCATCCATCAAACCTATCGCCATCCGATCTAGACGTCACTCTGAAGAAGATCAAACATTCATATCAAATGAAATCGCTAATCTCCTAAAAGACAAAGTTATAGAACCTAGCGTCTCCCCATGGAGAGCGCAAGTCCTGGTTGCAGGAGGTGGACATCACCGAAAACGTCTAGTAATAGACTATTCACAGACTATAAATAGATTTACGGATCTAGATGCATACCCTCTTCCGAGTATTGAATTTATAGTAGCTTCCGTATCTAGGTATAATGTATTTAGTCAGATAGATCTTAAAAGTGCATATCATCAGGTACCTATCCTTCCGAAGGAGAAAATCTACACCGCATTTGAAGCCTGTGGTAATCTTTACCAGTTCACACGGATTCCGTTTGGTGTTACCAATGGTGTCGCTGCTTTTCAAAGAACTCTTCACTATATCATTCGTACGGAAAAACTAAAAGGTACATATGCTTACTTAGATGATGTTACTGTCTGCGGAAAAGACAAGCGAGAACACGACATCAATCTGAAAAGGTTAATGGAAGCTGCAAAGAAATACAATCTTACCTTAAATAAGAACAAATGCGTGTTTGAATCTGATTCTATCAATCTACTTGGCTATTATATTCATAACAATACGATACAACCTGACAAAACACGCCTCGAACCGCTTTTGAGTCTTCCTATTCCGTCCGATACAGCCACACTTAAGAGAACTCTTGGCCTATTCGCCCATTATTCAAAATGGATTCATAATTTCTCAGCAAAAATAAAACCATTGGTCGATTCCTCATTTCCTTTAACTGAAGAAGCAATAGAATGCTTCACAAAACTTAAAGCTGATATTGCACAATCATCTCTGGCTTCTATCGATTCAAAAGAAACGTTCACTGTTGAGACTGATGCATCAGAATTTGCCATAGCAGCCACACTTTCACAGAAAGGCCGCCCGGTGGCATTTTTCACACGTTCTCTAAATAATTCAGAACGACGCCAACCTTCCATAGAAAAAGAAGCGAGTGCAATTGTGGAAGCCCTTCGCAAATGGCGTCATTATTTAATTGGCCGTTACTTTATTCTTATCACTGATCAACAGTCTGTATCTTTCATGTTAAATCAAACACATTCAAGCAAGATAAAAAATGAAAAGATAGAACGATGGCGTCTGGAACTATCTTGTTTTAAATATGACATAATTTATCGCCCTGGCAAACAAAATGTAGCTGCAGACGCGTTATCCCGTGTCTGTTCCCTTATAAATAGTTCTTCTAAACAACTCGCTGACCTTCACAGCTCTCTATGCCACCCAGGTGTGACAAGAATGATTCATTTTGTTCGTTCTAAAAATCTTCCTTATTCTGTTGAAGAAGTCAAAAGAATCACCTCTGCTTGTCGTGTTTGCGCCGAAATAAAACCTAGATATGTAAAGAATGAAGGTAAACTAATTAAAGCAACGACTGCATTTGAACGATTGAATTTGGATTTTAAAGGGCCTTTACCATCCAACACCTGCAATAAGTATATTCTAACCATAATTGATGAATATAGCAGATTTCCATTCGCATTCCCTTGTAAAGACATGTCATCAGCGACTATAATTAAGTGCCTGAAAGAACTTTTTTGCCTGTTCGGTACTCCTGCTTATGTTCACTCCGATAGAGGAACATCATTCCTGTCAGAAGAATTAAAGCTATTCCTGACTAGTCTTGGTGTTTCATGTAGCCGTACTTCCCCATATAATCCACAAGGCAACGGTTTGGTAGAACGCCTTAATGGAACACTATGGAAGACAATCCAGCTTCATCTCCGCTCTCAGAACTTAGATAGTGCCTGTTGGGAAAAATCATTGCCAATTGCACTACATTCTATAAGGTCATTACTATCTACAGGGATAAACACAACCCCTCACGAACGGATGTTTAATCATCCTCGGCGCTCATGCACTGGTTCTTCCATGCCAACCTGGTTAATGTCACCAGGGCCGGTATTTATGAAAAAGAACGCTAGAAATTCTAAATATGATTCAGCCGTCGAGGAAGTAGAGTTACTTCAGAGCAATCCGGCCTACTCCTTTGTGAGGTTGCCTGATGGACGTGAGACAACAGTTTCAAATAGATCGCTGGCCCCAATACCGCACAACGATGACGTATTTTTGGATACTGAAGACCCAGAGGAAGTTCCTGATCAAGAGTCTTTCACAGAAAATGAACAATCTATAGATTTGCATCCTGAGGCACTTGTATCATCTCCTGAAGACTCTCAGCTACGTCGTTCTTCTCGGGAGCGAAGGCCTCCGCCGTATCTGCAGGATTATGCTTCGACTGTGGTTAAAAAAAAATGCACAGGGTGAATGATGTGAACTCCTTGAGTTTATAATCATACTCTTTGCTAAAAGTTCTATACTTTATATTTCAATGATGACATATGTTATAAATTGATATTGTCATACTCTCTTATGTTAAATAATTTGCTCTGTTTTAAAGCATAATAAAACCAAGTATCTAAATTGGTATTGTCTTTTCTTGTATCACCCCTGTAGGAAATTCCTCTCTGACCTAGAGAGTTGACAAGTAGCCAGTACTTCAGTCGCGTCCGAGACTTTCACTGGCATACTCGTGAGTTTTCAGAGTTTACAGGTAGAAGGTCGACTTACATTTTCGTTCTTTCAGGAGTTTTAGTTTGTTTTTTCCTTATTTATAAAAGTATTCTTTGGTTTATTTTTCATATTCGTTCTGTTTACTTATGTGTTGTGTTTGTGGGTCAGTGCAATGATTTTGTATCAAATGTCAAATATTACGAGACGATAATGTGCGTTGGTGCTTGTGACGATGATCTTGCTGCAGCTCGACGGCTTTATGATGCGCGCAACGTGTTAGGAAGATCTAAAAACCCACGAGTCTTCCATCTCGGTTACATACAACTGGTTCATTCCCACCACCTATTCTACCGATTTTACTGAACACCCAACGAGGAGTACTCGTCGTAGTACTCGTGTATTGGGGGCCAGTCATTGCAAAGTATGGCAGACTATCCATAACGATCATCTGCATCCCAAACATTACTGTGATTTGGAATATTAAAATCTGACTCATGCAATAGTTAAGGGAGTAACACGGTCTGTGTTGAGTCGAATGGAGATATGTGTTTAACACGGTGGCCGGCGTATCGAGACCCTGAACCAGGACTGTAACTAAAGTGAAATTTGAGGTAGGGCAGTATTGTTTATAGGTAGAGCGGAAGTAAAAAAATTATCATAATTGATCTGCTCCGAAGCACGGACTACTAAATCAATCACCATGTATATAACTGACCTCTAGGTCAATAGCTATTCGTAGACAAATAATTTCTGTGACAGAGCATGACATGGATCTAAGAACTATTAGATCCTCAATGATGAAAAATAAGTGAACAAGAGTAGAAATCCACGTCTGAGTAAAAGTGAGGTAATAATAAATTAATAGCTGATCAACTGAAATTGTTCTTGTTTTTCAAAGGCCAGAAATACCGCCATTCTCCCGTGACCTATTGATTGCAGTTAAAGTTGAAAACGTAGATTCGCATACTGCAGTGCTACATCCTATGGTCGCCAGAAATGCAAAAAGTTCATATGTATCGTTGAACGCCTCTCGTTGCCTGTGCAAAATAGGCTGTACTGTATTATAAGCTGTGATGTACTGTAAGTGTACGAAGTCTGTTTGCTTCCATGAGGTAAAATTGCTGGCATGGATAGCAAAAAGCAGTATCTTTCTCGACAGAATACTGCAACCATTTATAACTCTTAAATCAATCGAAAACAAAGGCCCTGTTATGGTGTTTTGGATATGTGTCTAAAACAACTTGTTTTATTGGTTCTCCGATTTCTGCAATATCAGAAGAAAAACATAGCTAACATTACCAACATGTGCTGACGAACTTGCTACCATGGAACTAGAAGTAGCGATTTTATTTTGTGTTTCCACCTGTTTTGAGCAGTGAGGTTCTTCGTGGTCAATTTGTTCTTAAACTCTTCGTTTTTTTCCAAAGAAAGTGTGGCGACTGATACGTAGCGACATGTTATTCATCGCAGTAACATCGCCAAAACAATCAATAGCGATTAGACTAGCATCGTCACAGCAATCGATAGCAAGATGAACTGCAAGAAGTTTCAACACCAAGTAACGAGATGGCGCTGTACTGTTAATTTATGATACAAACATCATAAATTAATAACTACAAGGCAATTAAAACAAAGAAACCTACATCGCACAGAATAAAGTTTCATTACCAATTAGCATAAATAGAACGTCCAACCTACATCGGTTGGACCGCGGTCCCCGGGCTAACAACACCTATACTCCATTCATTATAGCATTAGACAGAAGTGAAATAAGGCTCTTTTTATGGTATACTTTGTGACAAAATATCAATAATCATGTTACTTTTAAGACTGACGGCTAATTTGCTACATTATATAATCTTAATTATCATAATATTAATAGCTTAAATATCTGCTGCTATATTTAACTGTTGTCATTTAAGCTAACTATTAAACAAATTTATGAGTATATGACTAACTTAAATGATTTAATAAGTATTACAATAAAAAGTGTCCATCGTAAAGAACCTAAAGAAGCAGGGTTGGATAGTTTCGGCACGATTCTCATGTCACTATAACTCTACCAAATTTAAAACGTTGCCTAACCCCTTTAATCGTTTCGGTAGTACAGCTTTTTAATTTTGTCAGACTATTATTTATTCATAATTATTAAAACCGTCATCTGGGATTGTCATCCATTGTGATTGTGAATGCTACTGCCTTTGGGGGCGTCCATAAATTACGTGAGGTGTTTTTTCAAATTTTCTGACCCTCCCTCCCCCCCTGGTGAGATGTCGTGAGATTTTATTCAATCCCCTCCCCCATCCCCAAATCTCACGTGAGATTTTTCAAAAAGTGGGTTTCTTATTTAAACACGTTGGATTTTTTAATAAAAAGAAAAAAAATAATAATTCGCTTCGTACTTTTATTTACGACTAGTTAGAGACTAGTAATCCATATTGCTCTCATTCATCGAGTCACACGTTCAGCTGACAGTGGCGCGAAAACAAAGGACGGGCTACATTGTACCGTAAATTCAAATTAAATTGAGCTATTTGGTATAAAACGAGTATAGTGGTTTGACAATCAGGAGTGATGTATAATGTCAAAGTACTAATGAAATTATTTTCTTTCCAACGAATTAGTGAACGATCTTAACCTTAGACTTGTCACTCTATGAGGGATTCCCCGCATCGAGCCTTATTTTAAAAATTGCGTGATATTTGCCGAGGCCCCCCCTCTCTCCAACGTGAGATTAGATGAGATTTGACTCGACTCCCTCCCCCCCTTAAACATCTCACGTAATTTATGGACGCCCCCTTTCTCGTTGTTTAGCCGTTTTCCGTGATGTTATTGTTTTATTTTTGTTGTTAAGTTTTGGTAAATATGGACGATGGCGGTACAGGCCCGAGTGGCCTACAAAAATTACGCTCTAAGCCCCCATACCTACCCTCAAACTTTGACATTTCAGGGAGTTTTTCCAATGTCTTCATCAATAGTCTAACTTATTACACAACACACAGATAGTTTCAGTTTTAGTTCCATGTTGGCTTGGGACTAAAAGATGAATTTATAAAATGCTGGCCTCATCTCAACCCCGAGGTATCATAAAAAATGGAAAATTGCCCAGCTCTTTCAGACTACCTAACGTTCAAAGTTTCAACAAAACTAATATAGATTTTTTAAATTTATCTTGAAAATAAAATGTTCTGCACTGCTGCTTCTATGACCCTCTTTTTTCTAATGTTATAGTGAATGAAGTATAGCTCGGAGGGAGACAATTATCTTTTAGTCTCCCTGGCGAGTTGTCTCCATCACCGCAGTAGGAACCACACATTCAACCTTAAAGTTCCTATATGGTATTTTTAAGGGAGGGCAATATGATTTCAAGGTAGAACATTGCTCCACAATGCCCCCCGTGCCCTGGACGGATAAAGTGAGGTCACCTTCACTTGTAGGTGTAGGTAATGTTAGCAAGTGAGAACTGAAAGAGTGTTTTGAACGCTGCCGTTAATTAGAAAATAATAATTTAAGGAATTATTCGTTATAAATATCTGAAAACTTTATTAGTACCTATCAAATAGATGCTTACCTATTTTCGTATGTTTATTTTGCTGCAAGTAAACTCCTACGCGGTCAAGGCGGCAATATCAAAGTGTATTCTAGGAAATGAGAGGTAATGAGAGAGGGCAAGAGGTAATGAGAGGGCAAGAGGTAATGAGAGGGCAAGAGGTAATGAGAGGGCAAGAGGTAATGAGAGGGCAAGAGGTAATGAGAGGGCAAGAGGTAATGAGAAAGAGCGCGAGGTTATGAGAGAGCCAGAGGTAATGAGAGAGAGAGAGCTCGAGTACGACGGGACGGCACGTATAAGCTTTCAGGGTTGTATATTAATAGAAAAAAAGTTCAAAATTTGTATGAAAAACTCAACCAACATGTTTTTTTTTTAGGTAATATTTGTGTTTTTTGTGCTAGGTTACCATGGCAATGTTTCAGGATTGTACATGTATTACCATACAGGATGCGTCAGCCTTAGGCCACGATGGGGAAAATTTAATTTATTACAATATAAAACCCTCAACATTTTTGACATGTTTTTATTTATAAGTCCCCTTGTAAGTACAAATCACAGAATTTACACATAGGTCTATCATTTATTAACTCGTATCTTGCTGTAACTCCACAACTTTTACAAACTAAATAATCATCATTTTCAATAGGAGTATATGTTAAAGAACAAAATGCATTCAAGTGGCCATCTTCACAAGAAAATCCATTTATTATTTTGTCACAACACTGGCATGTGTAATTATATTCTTTATCAACTAAGCTTATAATATTTGAAATACCTAAGTCGCTTTTATACTTTTTATTGGTAACTTCCAGATAATTTTTGCATCCAACAAAACATTCCTCTTCAAAATCAGATAATGGAATATGATTTTGATAAGATTTATTATAAAGACTAATTAACAAAGTTTTAGAATGAGCAATTGCTATTTTTTCTCTAATTATTTGAATTGACCTTTCTGGCAGATTGCCTTTATCTATTTTGAAATTTTCTTCTAAAACATTGCAGATAATGAGAACAATTAAATATACTTTCAGTTTATAAATATCTGTCTCTCCTTCTAATAGTAACGCCTTATAATCATATTCAGGCAATCGTCTCCATTTCATCATTTTGAACCGTAACACTTCCATACAGTCCCAGAAATTAGTTAGTTTTTTTGTGGGATTATTCAGTAATATCAAAAATTCGGGGAAATCGGTATCTGATGGAGTGTAGTATATAATTTCTAATTTCATTTGTGATTTTCTATTCATAATTTTTCTATCAATTACTGTTGTAGCTAGTATAGCTCCATTTTCACTAAAACTACAACTGTGTAGTTCGTATGATTGATTGAAATCTTTCAAATTTATTAGTTCATATTGAATATCAAGATTTCTTTCAGTGACTTCATAATTCATTTTAAACATGCATCCATTAACAGTTGAGATATAAAAGAAATTATTATGTTTGCAAATATCTGTTATTTTATAATCATTTACATTTTTTACATGCTGTGCTAAAACTTTATTGTCATTAGTAACCAATTGAGCTAATAAATGTCTATGTTTATTGCATACATACATTATTTTGTCTTCCAATATTACATAGGCACAATGTTTAACTGGCATTCGATCTTTGTGACGCCACAACATATGGCTGCTTTGTAATGTTACCTTTTCATTTAGTAGACATTCCAATAAAAATATTTGACCTTCACTATTTGAGCACAACATAACAAAATTTGAAGCTCTAGGTATCCATTTAATTGAAATTATATCTCTAAAATCTGTGTTTATTTGATCGATGTATGTCACCTTGATGTTTTTGTCCTCCTCTTTTATTAACCAGAATATAATGATTCCATTTTTCTGAACTGTCACAAAATAGGTAGAATTGTCTTTGTTTATAAATGGTGCCCAACATATTGCAGATGTTACCAAAGTATATGCACATACTTTTATTGTGTCTATGTCATTGGATTCTCTTACTAAGGTACTATTCAATTGTTTAATCACAAGAGCAGATAAATTTTGTACAACTGTCCATGTTTTTTTGCATTTTTTATAAAACTCTATATGGCCTACATTATTTAAGATTGCTAAAATAAAACCATTATTCCACATCATGCCTCTTGGAGACCATTCAAATGTGAGAATATCGGACGCTTTTTGTAAAAGATGCTTGTTGTATGACCACAATGCTGTATCCATGGTCATTTGAACAAGGTCTATTCCACTGACTCCTTTACTTATGAAGCCGAATAAATCTGAAGCAGGACTTTTAGTAGGAGTCTCTATAGAATAGTCTATGCAATCAATTTTTTTGTCAGTACATCGTAAATTATAAGATAATTCAAAAATACGAATTGTACCGTCTCCTTGTAGTGCCAGATACGAGTTGCTCCAAATTGTGTAAAGCTCCTCATATTTGTTAGTGTTAACAGACCGTCGCGATATTTCGTACATCGAATTGAGCACAATTGAAATATTTTAATAAGAAATAAAACATGAACCAAACCACAAGGTTATAACCAAACTATTATCAAGTCAATTTGACATCACAGACGTGCCAGACTAGGGAGGCAAAGATTAATCCGAAAACCGATACGTATCCATAAATTGATATAAGTGAATCTAAATCGAATAATATCGATATCTTTTAGAGGGCGCTGGCTCTGCTTGACCAAGTTGATCATTATGTAAAGTTGCGTTTTGAAATACAAAATTGTGGATAAATGTATCCACTATTTTGTAATATATTTATATCGTTTTTGTGATGTTTTAAATAAGGTTTTTTTTTTTTTTATTATAAGCAAGTAATTTAAAATTGTCTAATTCCTGATAAAATATTCTGTTCATACATAAATCACATTACAAATACAAATACAAAATATTTTATTCTACAAGTAACATGGTCATTATAATACATTAGATCTTAACATTAGATCATAACCTATGCTACATATAACACCAATTTTAGGCACGCAGAATATAGAAATTTATACAAAGAGCAATTAATTTATATGTCATGAGTCATGACTGTATTGACGGGTTTCCTTTCTTCTCTCTTCGTAACCCTGCCTGGCATGTGAACGTGTCGGAATGCTTTATTCGCTTCGCGCGTGAGGAACTTCGATATCGTCACGATCTCGGGCTCTTGATCCGATCCGTGATCCTCCGCGTAGCCCCACCATTTTGAAATGACGCATGGGTTGAGCTTCGCTATTATTTCTTGCACAAATATTGGGTTTACTAAATATGTACACTATCATTAAGCTGTTGAATAGATAAATACATTATAAATTGTATGTCAGAACAATATGCCTACACTTTTATCATTAATATACTCGTAGTTAAGTTCACATTAAATTCTGCAAGCAACATATTCATTAATAGAGTAAAAACTTTTCTCTACTAATCATTTTTTAAGCTTTTTTGCAACAGAGCGAATAGCAACTCTCGTATGGTATTAGTTATATGTATGATTGTATAAAAAAATCTCATCATATTACAATTTTTGTGGCTTAACATACTTCTATAATCAGGAATCAGAATTTCAGTTGGGTCTCTACGTGAGTACCCACTAACTTGACAAGATTGTACAAATAAGAGAGGATGTTTTTTGACGAAACAACCCGCTTCTAGAATGTACAAATAGGTAAATATTAATCAATTCAGTTTTTTAAATAGCGGTCGACATTTTCTTTGTAAGCATTCATATCGAATGCTTACAAAGAAAATGTCGACTTTATGAAAGGAAAAAATGCTTCAATCACAAATGATATTTTACAATACTTCAGTAATATTATTCTCGAGAATTATCTTATTAAGTTTTAGTAATTTAATTAAAAAAAACCTTTGTGCTCACTTCCATTATGTTAGTGTCCATTTTCCTCTATACAAATAAAAAAGTAATTTAATAAAAGATTACTTTGTATATAAATTAAATTTCAACTCGATATTAATCCGAGTTATCAGATTCATAACAATACTGACAATTCTATTCTCTTTGGTTTAACGTCATGAATTGACGTTAAGATCCAACAATTTGTGCTGCCATCTAGTGACATAAATTTTTTTAATTACTTTATATTTTTAAATACTACCTTTTTGACATTTAGATCCAACAATTTGTGCTGCTATCTAGTGACATAAATTTTTGTAGTTTATTTATTTTTTTAAATATTGCCTTATTATAGGAGCGAAGTGATATCTAGTTGCTAATTATCGATAATTAATAAATTCAGTTTTTACAGACTCTATTGATAATTTACATACAGACTCAATTGATATTTTATTCAATCGAGTACGAGTTCAAAAAATTACTTACTGTATAGTCTGTGTATAAACGTCATAACAATGGTTAAAGCACGTGTTCAGCAAAGAGTAGTTTTTGTTTAAGATTTCAGTCACCATTTCGTATATTATTTTCATGCCATTTTTTCAGGTTTATGCTTATGTATATGGATGGTTATAATATTTAAAGAGTTATTGTGAAATCACTATGGGTAAGAGCAGGCATAATGCCAAAGCAAGAAGAGTAGTGAAAACGAATATAATTGAGACAGATGAGGTAAGAAAATAACTAAATACATTAAAACTTTGATATCTTGTTTAAAACCCGCGGAAAACTTTTGTAATACAATTCACTTATCATTTTACCTTCCATATCACCCTCACCACGTGACCGGAAGATTTTCTGCAAAGAAAATGCAGTAGACCAAACGACATTCAGCAGTCTAATGAAGTCATTTTCCGTTTGACTTCACAGTAAAAAATAAAACTGCAAATAAATGTTAGATAACATCACATGATTAAGTGGCTTTTTAGCACTTTTATCATAAAAATCGGAAGGAACAACCAGGAATCGAGATTGGGACCACAAAGATATCACTTTAAAACCAATGGGCGAGTTGTCATACAAAAAATAGCACTTGCAGATCCATTCAGTAAACTGTCTCATATCGATTTATGAAATGCATGTCCTCCAGATGTTTTTAATTTGTGTTATTTTTGTCATAATTTAAGAGTTTTATATGGGATATATAAAAGAAAATTTATCAAAAATAGGACCTAATATACAAAGAAGCAACATTATATTTCAAAATGTTCCTTAACAGAATCAGTTTGTCGTTATTAATTTGAATATCTTTATATATACTAAAAGTGTTTGTGGAAGCACTTTAGAATCGTTGACTATGCTAACATGTGCCAAAGAGGGAATACACCATCTCCACCAAACGCCATAGCGCAGAGAAGCATAGTTAAGAAAAAAAAAAGATATATATATATATATATATATATTATCCAGATAATTAAAATCTAGACCTTTTTTCTTTTGAAAAAATATCAAAATATGTATCATTGATATATGAAAGTAGGAAGACCATAAAACTTTTATTTTTTTCTGTTAAAAAAAAGTAGCCTCAAATTTGAGACAATCACTGCTATGCTTTGAATTCTGACTTATAATGTGACTTAAAGAGCCAAAGCAACTTCTTTATTTCAGTTTAATGTATTTTCAAAGAAATTTATCTCGTAAACTAATAAACTCTGCACCTTGACAATTGGAAAATTAAATTTCTTTAGCATTTTTGTGTATGTAGCACCGATACTAAAGCTGAGCCATGTTAGTTTTACCTCAAGATTATAAATTCAATATACTCATTCAAGATAATAAGTATTCTTCTTTTTACTTTCAGATAAAGGTAGAATTTTCTAAAAATGAATATGGCACATCAGACGCTAGCAATCTTTTGGTTTTACCTTCAAAAAAGAGGCAAACTAAAATACTTACAGACAAAAAAGATAAAACAAGATTTCTTTCAAAGGCACAGAGGAAAAGACTCGAAAAAATTGTTGAAAAGAAAAAGAAAAAAGAAAATGTAAGTATCTTCCTAGACTGTCTATAATTTCTAAGTTACTCTTAATTACTAATTACTTAGTCATTATATTAAATGTATGAATAGTATTACCAAAAATAAAATAGATATTAGAATTTTGTAAGTTATATATTTTTTTCAAATTCTATTAAAAATATTATATTTACCTTGAGTATTAAGCACAATATAAACATCCAGTTGCAGAAATACTACTATGATTTGATGAGCACTTCAAGCTTTAATGAATGTTCCAAATTTGAAAATTTATATTGATTAACAGTCAGATGTACGAACATCCATTAAGGTTAAATGATGCCTCTAAGATCTAATGAATGTATTTGATAAAAATCTAATGAATAATTAATGTATTAACTAATGAATTTGTATGGGCTATGTCGCATTAAACTATAATTAATCAAAATATAATAATGTTTAGCCAGTTGCACAAAATCTACTACATGCTTCCTTTATAACATTATTTCAGAGAGCTTCTCTTTTGGAATCTTTGTCACAAGTTCAAGCTTCACCAAATGAAATCAGCCAGTTGACTGCAATTTCTGCTATGCAGACACTGGGACTTAGAACATTGACCGAGTATAGTAAAGAGATATCAATAGATACTAAGGAATCTACCGACAAGAAGTTTAGTAGTATTGCGGGTACCTGTATAATATTTTTTATAATATTTTGTCTAATTTTATCTTAATGATATATGCAATACTTTTTTGTTCTTCAAATTATTCAATATAATATTTCATAGTATATTCTCGATTATTAATCTATTTTTTTGCGCTGTCAGTGGACAGTGAGGTATATTTTAGTATTCAATGTTTCCGTAATTGATTGGTTACATTTGGTTTTATTCAGATTACATAAAGTTCTTAAATAATTTTTCTAGTAACATAGCATAATAGGTCTCAATAATGTGTAAATAATAATTTTCACTAAGTTATCATTATTGTTACAAAGTCATAGAGAATTTTGCATATATTCATTGAAGTTATAAGGACTGATGGATTATACTATAGTATTAAGTAATGATTTTTTAACATCAGGCAATCTATTATGTATGTTTTTTAATATTATAAGTAGCAAATTTGTACTCTAATATGACATGAGTCTTGAGCCATATGCAGGATGATGGAGAACAGTTCATATTCTCAATTTAGTTTGTTGCTTTTAAATTTTCATCTGCTTGTACTTATCAACATTTTTTGTCAGGTGCCAAAAAGCGACTACGCCTTTTGAAACAAGATCAATTAGAAAAAAATAAAAAGTCTAAATATGATCCTAACATTGTGGGATTAGAAAAATGTTCTGATGAGGAAATTAGTTCAGAATCTGATGATGATAATGATGCAGAAGTTGTTGAAAATGGGCATGAATGTAAAAGTAATATGGAAATTGTAGATTTAAATATATCAAAAGATGGCGACAAGGATGAAAGTTTCGAAGAAAAACAGGTAAACCATGATTCAGAACTAAAAAATAAAATATTGAATAAGAATGAGACAGAAACATTGCCAGATAATAACAAATCTTCTAGAGAAACAAAAACAAAAGAAATTAAAGTTGAAGTAAAGAAATCACTTTTGAATCATCCCACGCAACATGTGGAAGTAAAAAGGGATCCTAAAGTGCAGGTGGCAAGACTTAAATTGCCGATTTTAGGTGAAGAACAGAGAATAATGGAGTTAGTAAATGAAAATGAGTTCCTGATTGTAGCTGGAGAAACAGGTACATACTTCTTTTTCATTAATTAATACATTAAGAGTTTAAAGAATCAATAAATTCTTTTAAATTGAAAAAAAAAATCTCTTAATAATAATATAATATGTCCTTGATAAAACTTGATTCATAAAGTGATTATTGTGATATTTTGAAAATTTGTATAATATTAATAAAAGTTTTTAAGGGGTTGCCAAATGCGGCAAATATTTAATAAATGTACTATGTATGATAAAAAATTACACTTTCTTTTAAAGGCAGTGGTAAAACTACTCAAATCCCACAGTTTTTGTATGAAGCTGGTTACACGCAGCACAAAATGATAGCAGTGACTGAACCACGGCGTGTCGCCACTGTTGCCATGGCAGCCAGAGTTGGCTACGAGTTGGGTTTGACCAGCAAAGAAGTATCTTACCTGATGAGGTTTGAGGGGAATGTCACTAAAGAAACAAAAATTAAATTTATGACTGATGGTAAATTTTCACATATACTATGATTTGTCAAGTATTCAACCAAATCAAACTACTGTAACCAAAAATGCCAGATTATTATTTTATGTATAAAAATATGTTCCGTTTTGAATTAATAATAGTATTATTATTCAAATAAAAAAAATTGACTTTCATTTGAGTATAATACAGAGTTTATAAGTATTAAATATAAGTTAACTTATTCTCTGAAAGTTTTATATAGAAATACAATGGCATGTTTTTATTTACGTTTGTGCAACTGACTGTTTGACTGAGGGTATGTACTTAGAAATTATGATTGTATGCTGAGATTGAAGTTTTTTGTGAGCATATTGTAACTTTTTGACATGTACTGCACTATATTGGAAGAAAGTAGTAATTATTATGTACATTTTAGGTGTACTCTTAAAGGAGATCCAATCAGATTTCCTCTTGAGCAAATATTCAGTAGTAATAATAGACGAGGCGCACGAAAGGAGTGTGTATACAGATATCCTATTAGGTCTTTTGTCTAGAATCGTGCCGCTTAGGAGAAAACGAGGGAATCCATTGAGATTAATCATTATGTCTGCTACGTTGAGAATCGAAGACTTTACAGAGAACACTAGGTTGTTCAAAGAACCGCCACCAGTTATAAAGGTAATTTAAACATTCCTCCTGAATCACTTTGTATATTAATGAATACTTCATTAAAATCTATCGTATATTTTAAAAGATCTTATTGCACAAACACCTGGAAGTTACTTTGTTTGATTTTACATATATATTTCAACTAGTATATTTTTGTATTTAAAGAGCAAAAGTCTGAAGTAAAATGAGGAATGAATATGATACAACTCATTGTTTAAAAACCAAAAAATGTTTATCAAATTACATATTAAAATTGATCATAGCTCAATAACCAAGAGCATAAATATGTTTTAAATAGTTTCTTAAACAATCTGATTGCAAAACTCTTTTTTGTACATAGAAGCAACTTTGGTGTAATTAATTATAAATGTATAAAAATTTTCGTTTTGTACCAATTATTTTTTCTACACCTAAATATTAATGTAGTCGAACTTTACGCTCTCCCTGTTATTGGTGCCGATTTATTGTATAGCCTGATTGCTGAACAGAGAGAAATTCGTACATTCCGGGTGCATTACATATCTCTCACTCGTGTGTAAAGATATTGCTATTGCGCTCGCACAGATGCATCTAGCCAATTTTGTCATAGTAAAGTGAATCTTAAATGTTTACGATATCTATCTGTAGGCACAAAGTTATTAAATTCTCTGTTCAGTGACTGGCTTTAGAGGTAGTATGAGAGTGGACATCATTATTTAACCTGGTCGTAGCATTTTTTTTGTAGAACACACTTTACTTTGTTTATGGTATGAATATTTATTTGTACTATTGTTTCAGATAGATTCGAGACAATTCCCAGTAACAGTACATTTTAATAAGCACACATATAGTGATTATTTAAAAGAAGCGTATAAGAAAACTGTCAAGATACACACCAGATTGCCGGAAGGTGGGGTCCTTATATTTGTAACTGGACAACAGGAGGTAATGTATTTGTAGTCTTTGTTAAAAACGCGTCCATTAATACTAAAATAATAAGATTTGATTGTTTGTTTGTTAGCATAGTCTCTGAAACAACTGGACCTATTTTGAAAATTCTTTCATCTACATCATATGTAGATAACATATGCTATAATTTATGTGTGGCAAAGTCGCGAGAAAACAGCTAGTTTTTAATAAATTGTAGGTGATACAGGCAATACAGTAAGATACAACTGATGTGGCTCACTGATGTACAGTCAACTGCTGTGGACTGTAGGTAATTTGAGTTTTCCTCCAGTTGATTATAAACCTCATTGCTTATCAATAGAGTTCAAAATCTATTGAGAAGATTTGACATATTGACCTAACGGCATAGAAGGGATATCTTCGATGTGTGGCAAATGTTGATTAATCAAAATCATTCAATTATCACGCGATATCCACCAATATCTACGCTGAGTGTGAGACGGACACTTAAGGCGTTGTATTTTGCACCTTATGGTTATTGAAACAAGACTCACTATAAATTTATTTGGTCAAAAAAATCGTTTCTTTGGTCATCATTGGAATTGGTAGATCTACTCTGCGCAAACGAAGATTAATCATGGCCATATAAGTTATAATTTACTGTACTAAGTATAGATATTTCAACGATATTACACAACTTAGCTTGGCGTTGATGGTAACACTAGCATTTGTGGTAAACAAATTGTTTTTTTAAGTTAATAAAAAAATAAATAAAAATAATAATTGTCATCAGAAAATATTATTCAAAACTTTGTAAATAGCTTCTTATATGTTGTAATTTCTTTTACGTCCCTACTGCAAGGTTTCAGGCCTTCCTTATAGTGGATGATTAACGAGAATGAGTCATGACACTACGCAGGCCCAACGCGGATTGGAGGGTATTAACGACTACAAACGCAGCCGGGACTATCGACTTAACATGCCTTCCGAAGCACGGAGTAGCTTGAGATATTTTTTTTTCGGTCTTTGCATTATATAATGTTTAAAATAATAAAGAAACTTTTTAGGTGAAATATTTGGTGCGTAAACTTAGGACTTCATTTCCGTATCGTAAAGACGTAGATTATTCGAAACTTATAACAAAGAAAAGGCCAGTAAGTGAAGCAGATGCAGCGTTAGACTCTGAACCGGATGATATAGAGTCCGACGACGACGAGGTAAATATGAATCTAGGCTACATGCTGATAAGGTTTAATTTTATTTTACAATTGAATTTAAAAAAAAAGTAGTAATCTTTATTACAGGAATATGATATATTTAATGTTTTCTATAAATAGGTGGCAATTTTGCAGCTTATATTTGTCATATCGTAAACGTAAGGGTTAAAGATATACTGCAACTTTAATTATATTTCGTTATTGATGACTTATCTCTTTCTATCCGAAGTAAAAGAAAGAGATAAGCTATATAAACAACGTCTGACTTTGAGTTACTTGTGTAATTAACCATTATTAATTAGGTGGAGAAAGAGATGAAGAGAGCGAAAAAGGCTAGAAGGAAAGCGAAGTTGATAGCGAAGAGTTTGCCGAAAATCAACCTGGATGATTATGATATGCCAGACGATGATGGTCAGGCGGATCTGGTGGATGCTGACGACGATAGCGAAGGGCATCTCAGTGACTCAGGTACTATTGATGACATGTTAAGATGACAAACAACTCTCGGATCGATTTTAAGCCTTAATCTATTGATAGTTTAGTTCAAAATACACATAGATGTATAAATATCTGAAAGTACTTTCTGTGTGATCACTATATGCTCTCTCCAAAACATATTTAGTACAATGTTGGTACAGTTGTTAGTCTGTTCGATCTGCGATGAGAAAGTTACGCAACTTTCCTAAGGGTTGCTCATGGGATAGGTGACCGATACTTTATTATCTTGAGCTCCTCTATGCTTCGTTAGGCAGTTTTTGGATACATCTACCGTCTTTAATACACCAATCCGCATTGGGCTCGCGTTGTGGGCCATGGAACATTCTCCAATTTCGATGAGATTCCATCCATAGAATAGGCCTGTGCCTTAAATATGGAGACATTTATAAAGCCGATTATTATGATAATGACATTGCCACTGACTTAGAAAACTTGGAATAATAAAATTGATTTCTTTGCTTTTCCTTTAAAAAGTGCAAACGGTCCTACCGATAGAGATTAATTTCGTTTACCAATACCTTAACAAATTTCATGGTTGGTATGAAAAGAAATATTTTTTGTTTCCTTTAGACGCAGAAGAAGATGGTTTATCGGCAGTTATTAAGTCTTGTCGTCAGCCTTTATGGGTACTTCCTCTATATTCTATGTTGAGTTCATCAAAGCAATCAAGAGTTTTTGCTGCTCCACCGCCAGGGGCGCGACTGTGCGTCGTCAGTACAGATGTCGCTGAGACATCGTTAACCATCCCGGCCATAAAATATGTTGTAGACACCGGAAAAAAGAAAATGAGGTTAGTAGAATATACCCTATATTCGTTTTAATAATAGATATAATTTATCAAACAATAAATATCTTTATTCAAGTAGGCTTATTAATACAAGCACTTTTGAATCGTCCAAAAAAATTTTTTTCCACTACCACTTGTTCAGGACGTCTTTTAGCTGACAAGAAGAACAAGCGAAAGAAGCTTACCAGCTCTTTATCATAAGACATTTACATAAATCATGTCATTACCAAAATAATATATATTATCACAATAATAAATACAACTTTTAAAGTCTGTATGTCATAGGTTGTACATACAATTAGTCGTTATAGAACAAAGCGAAGGCTATTAATTCCATGTAACTATATTTTCGAAACCATATTTTCATAAAAGAAAAAGATTATTATTAATATGGAACTAAAGAGTATAGATTTTACCGAAAATAACACGTATCGTATTCACTAACTATATTTTTTATTATTACTATAAATACAATTTAACATTACAATTTATATTAGTACAAACAAAAAAGCACGAAGGTTTGTCCGGCACTTCCTCAGTACAATCGCGTTGAAGGTAAACAAAACAATATTAAAATCCACTTTAAGTAAATAAATTAAGTAAATCGTTACCGCTTCTATAAAACTTTCAATGAATTCATCGTTCCGTCCAGAGTATACGATCACGTGACAGGCGCTAGCGCTTGGCGAGTAGTGTGGACGTCGCAAGCGAGCGCTGAGCAGCGAGCGGGGCGAGCGGGCAGAGTGGGCGCAGGTCACGCTTACCGCCTATACAGTAGCGCTGTGTTTCAACACGAATGTGTACCGCATCACCCTCCCGATCTATGTAGACGACCTGTCGATGATTTGGTGCTCACCATGCGCTGTATGGGCATAGACAAGGTTTGAACACATTTTATATATGATAAGGTGTTCCGCAAGGATCAGTTCTAGGGTCTCTATTGTTTTTATATATCGATGACTCATTTACGGGGCGCCGGTCATACTTACCGCCTATACAGTAGCGCTGTGTTCTAACATAAATATGTACCGCATCACCCTCCAGATCACATACATTTTATATGATATGGTGTTCTGCAAGGATCAGTGCTGGGGCCTCCATTCTTTTTATATATTGATAACTCATTTACGAGGTGCCTCGTAATGTGACGTATTATATCTTTGATATATAAATTATTAATATATATCGGGACCTAGAAAAAGGATCAGTTCTAGGCCCCGGATTATAATGATATGTTGAGAAAACTTATCCGAGTCCCTCAATGAGCACAAATTTAGTGATGGCAATAAACTTTTCTGTATTCTATGTGATATATCGATAAAAAAATCTGAATGTGAAATATATGCAAGATTAAATTTAAGACTGAAATCTTAATTAAATATTAAATACGCTATTGCTGGGCATTGTGAATCTATTTCACTCCTCGTTGCATCTGATCATTATTTAATATCAAACAGATAGATTCTAACTCATATGTATTATTACCTAGTTTATTCAAGTTCAAGAGAATGGACAAATATTAGAATGATAACTTCTACGGGATTGCTACCGTTTACAATTTTGCAAGCGCGATGATCACCTTGATCATCCGTGATCGTAATGAAAACCATCATTCTTATGTAAATGATCATGAAAACTGAAGCTACATATTGGACAAATATTGATTAAATTATTTTGTTGTGTCATTCTGTAGGTAGTGAATTTCCCGTTTCCAACAGCACCAGATAGACTTCAACTCAAATTGGCTGAGAAACGTCTAGAAACACTCGGTATATTGGAAAAAATAGAGAAAGTCAATTCGAATAAAAGAAGAATACAAGACGACGGCGAGGTACCGCTTTTTTAGTTGTTATTTTTTTAATCCTTTGTGATTAGAGTATATTAGCTTTATGGCGTAGTGGATAAGCGCCGCGGCCCGCGATCTTGATTGCTAAGCAGCTTTCGCAAGGGTCGATCATGAGATGGTCAAAAAATGATTAGCTCGATCTACTTTATGCTTTAGAAGTAACATTAAACCGTTGGCAGCATTTGCAGTTGTAAATCTCCTGGGACTGGGTTGGATGGTTATGGCTCATCTTCCTTAACCATCTACAAGGAACGTTTCAGCCCAGAGGGACGTAAAACGGCTGATGATGATGATGTTCATGAGGCGATTGGCTTCTTTGTCACAATCAAAATATTGTCTGGTATATATTGCTGTTTTTTTCCTATACAGATATTGAAAGTTACCCCATTAGGTAAGGCTGTATCTGCATTCCCACTGCTACCGAGATATGGAAAAATGTTAGCGCTCAGTCATCAATTCGGTCTGCTGCCTTACACTATAGCTTTGGTATCAGCATTGACGGTGCAAGAGGTGAGTTATGAACTAACTGTATATCTTTATTGTCACCAATGATTGTTTACAATATACAGGAATAATTTGTTGTATTATCCAATATACAGGAGTACTCGTGTACTCGAATTGGATCATGTGGTACCCAAAGGGTAAAAAACGGAACCCTATTAGTCCACTGTCCATCCGTTTGTCACCAGGCTATATCTCGTGAACCATGATAGTTAGATAGTTGAAATTTTCACAGGCAATTATTTTTGAACTGGATCAAAAATTTTGTATGGCTCCCTCTCCCCCCTATATTTTTGCAGTGTATAATTTTTCTTTCTTTTCTTTCAATTAGCGATTTTGAAGCATGTCATTGTATGGCATGCCTATGATATGTTTAAACTGTAAGTAGGTATTATATAATGCCAGTATCATTGATAACAGTTATCAATGATACTGGCGCCTGGGGCAAGTGCCACCCCCATTTTCCCCACCTTAGATCTGGATCTAATGGAGGGCCTGGGCTTGATAACAGAATTAATTACTCTATTTCTAATTTTCTAATTTATGATAGAAAAAATTACTCTATATAAAGCAGTTATAATTCTAAATATTGTTGGACGTCGCAATATAATTCTGTAAACCAATAATCCATCTTATCTTAAATTCGAATCTCAACAAACAATTAATTTTGAATAAGGTGATGTCTGGCAAACCGGACAGTTGGCTCGCGACTGGCAACACTCTATTGCTCGGAGATCCGGGCGTATTATTGAGGGTAGTTGGAGCAGCGGAGTATGCGTACGTAAAAGGCGAGGAGGAGCTGTTTTGTGCTAAATATGGATTGAGGGAAAAGGTTTGTTTGTTATTATTAATTGTATTTATCACTTGTTAATGAAATATTTGTTTTATATATGTTATAGCGCGTCAAAATTTATAGATTAAATTACTTTTTAAGGTATTTCGGGTTTTTTACAGGTCTTGTTCAAATTAAATTTTATTAAATGAGTATTTAGGATACACAACTATGGCAACGATTATTAATTTGATTTATGTGAAATTTATTTATTTTCAATTGAAATTTAGTTAAAAAAATAAAATAAAAAACCTTGTAATAGTTAAATAATTGCTAAAACTGTTAATAAGCACTGATCGACAGATCAATAATTCGATATAGTTCTAGAAATATAATAATAATACATACAAATAAAAATTTATTGCAAATGCTTATTTTTAACACCAATTGGGATGATGACTAATTTTTGTTTGTTTGTCCGTCAGGTAGAGTGTTAAAAAATATTAAACACGTATTTTTTATTTTTTTCGTAATCATAAAATTACGGTGTTATATTGAGTTGAAATTTCGCATGACGTCACGTTAGAGTACGTTTTCTACTCAACTGTGACGTAGCGAGCCCCCACTCCCCAACTTTAATGCCTGTTATCTATACTATTTCTTGTTAAATTAAAGTAAAAAAAAATACGTATCTAATATTTTTCTATTATCTGACTGACAGACTAATTAGAATTGCATTTTTTTTACCCAATCATCATCCCTATTACCGCTAATTTAGTATCAAACTTGTTCAGAATAGGCAAATTTCATATAACTATTAATCACAATTCATTCGTGGAATACTTCCTGTTAAACCCTGATGATTAAAAAAAATCCACAGGCTATTAAAGAGATTCGGAAGCTTCGAAAGCAGCTGACATCGGAGATCAATCTAAGTATAGCCGGGGTCGATGTGACCGTTGATCCCGAGATGAAACCACCGGATGATAATCAAGCGAGGTTATTGCGACAGCTGGTGTTGAGCGGGCTGGGTGACCAAGTAGGCAGAAAGATTGGTCTTGATGAGGTTAAAGAAGGTCAGTTTAGAAACAGACTTTGAAATTTTGAATTTTTTTTTAGGATTCCAAATAGTAAAAATGTGACCCTTATAAAAACGTCTGTGTGTATGTCACAATCACTTTATTCCGAAACTAGTAGATCTATCCGTTGGAGCTTTGTAGATCGTTGTATTTTATGATGTATGAATATTTTGAAACAACTAGCTGTTTTCCCGCGACTTCGCACGCGTCAATTATAGCCTATGTGAACCCCGTATGATGTTGCTACCCGAAAGTGAAAGAATTTTTAAAATTGGTCCAGAAGTTTCGGAGTCTTTTCAATGCAAACGAACGTACAAATTTTGCCTCTATAATGTTAGTATAGAAAAGTTAACTGAAACTATTTATTTTTATTTATCAAACTAGTCGTGAGGATTTATAAAAAGATTTTTAAAATGACACTTATGTTCCTGAAACTATTTTTCTCTTAAAAGTCTATAGACACTTTCAAATTGGCAAAATGTCCCACCTCTAACATTTCAGATAATTCAGAGAATAATCTTTTAAAAAAAACATATAGACATGATCATAATGAAAACTTTCAAACGATACGAAATACGAACAATAATGATTGAAGCTTTTTCAATTTTAGGTTTTTTTTTATAAAATAAATTGAGGTAAAACATGAATATTTCATGAATTCTTTGAGACCCAAGTGGGTTATTCTATATCAATATTCTAGAAGGTTGACTGCCAAGTTACTTACTTGATTTTGCATTAGATATTTTCGAATTTTAAGGTGAAGACAAACGCAAGTTCAAATACGCATATCACTGCGGTGAATTAGACGAGCCTGTACATTTGCATGGGATGTCCATTCTTCGCAAGACCATACCTGAATGGGTGGTCTACCAGGAGTTGTATGAAACAGGAGAAGATAATAAGAAGATGATTATGAGAAACGTAACCGCTATAGAACCGGAATGGCTACCCGTATACGTGCCACAGATGTGTAATTTAGGTAAGTATTTAGAGGGACATGAATAAACTATTAATTATAGTTTATTCATGTCCTAAAGAGGTATTTAGGTACATCGTATTTCTAAATGACATTGAGAAAATAAAAGATTTTATGTAATTTTCATGATGAAAACAATATACAAAATTACGTTTCTTTTTTTTTATTTGGATAATTATGGTTTCATTTTTTTGTACTAACCCAACTTATTTTTTAATAATCGTAATAGTTTGAGTTATTGACAGTTAAGATGTAAGGGAAGTATATAATTATTTTGCAATAAAAAGTTATCTTAACCATATAGAGAGCGGATTGTAAATATAAAGAAACTATTATGGGACAAGACTCATACAGAAGTGTTTAATGATATATTCTTTCTAGGGGAACCTCTTTCGGATCCAGAACCTAGATACGATGAGAAGTCTGGTAGAGTTAAATGCCACTTCAAAGGAACGTTCGGGAAGGCTGGCTGGGAGCTACCCACTGTCGAAATAGATTTTCCCGATAAAATCGAAAGATACAGGTATTTGTTTATTTTTAAAGGAAATTTTGTGTTTTTTGAAAAAGCATTTGATTGTGTAGAGCACTGTATTCAGTTACATAATATGCAGTCTTGGAATGTATAGCGGCCATGGATTGAGTGGTATTTATTTAATTGGTCTCAGGCGATAGTAGTAGGTTGATATAAATTAGACTTAATGTTTAAATTCTGTGGCGTTCCTCAAGGATCACATCTCTGTCCACTTTATATAACGCAAATATTCTTGACATTACCAATTGCTTTTCTAATACTAATCAGCTATTGTTTGCCGATGATAAAATATATCAGTATTATTGGTGTTGATATCTATATTTCAAATATCGTTTATAAAGTAATAGATATTTGTGACACCAAACATCAGTAAAACAAGATAGATTATATCCAACATATTTGTTATCTAGATATAACTTGGGAGTTTCTCATGATATAAATGAACCAGCTGTTATCTTTGGCATCGCCCACGTGGTCCGAGGGTAATATGGCCCGCACACACTGGCCTGCTATACTGGAGTTTCAACCTAATTTTAATAAAAGATCTGCCAGTATGTATCGTACCTTTATATCATTATCATTAGCTTATCAACGTCCCCATTTGTGGGGCATAGGCCTACCCAATAGAGGGACAAAATATCTACAATCAATTTTGAATTTAACTATTAACAGATTTAGGTTTAAGATAATGTGCAAGTTGGTATATTTCTCGTGGACTATGAAAGTTGACTTCTATTTCTAAATGCGATGTATAACGGATAAACATTTTTTTTCAACAGATGGTTTGCCAGATACCTCCTGGACGGGACCGTATTTCCGAAATTGAAGAAATATTGTGGATCGTTGCTATCTCCACCTTCGACTATGGTGAAGAGTTGGTCGAAACTACAACCGCGCACTGAATTAATATTGAAGGCGCTTATTATGAAGCGAGCTGGCACGAGAGATGCTCTGAGAGAAATCTGGCAATTGGAATCTAATTGTAAGTGAACATTAAAATTATTAAGTTAGTGTTTTTACTTGTGTTGGGAAAGAAGAGGATTAGTGGGTTCGATCCGCAATGTTAAAGTTAAGTATCGTTTGCAAGGGTGACTGACCAATTTTTTAATTTACTCTTTTCACATTCCACTTAAGTAATCATCAATGTAACCTAGTGATAATGGTTTGTTAAGTCGAAACACGGGTAACAATGTGTGTTTGCTTACCGAATCATTTTCGATAGCGTTTTAACATTTATTCACTCAAATTGATATATTTTAGTTTTTGTTAGAAAATCACCACACGAAATTTAATCCGCCAAAAATATACATTCGAGAGCAATGAATACGGGTCACTTAAAGAATCCTAAAAATCTCGGAAAGTAAGAATGTTAGCTTAATTAAATAAATTGTGTTTATTTCAATTTATTACCCCTGAATGAAAGTAAAAATATGAGTCACCACACATTTTATTTACACAAAATTACATAAAGAAAAAAAAAAACTGCTCATCTCTCCTTAAAACAAAAATAGGAAATCGTGAAATCGTGCTTCCATTACTGCGTTTACACGGTTTGGCATGCTGTACACCAAGTTCCTTATACGATTTTGAGGAATATGCTCCCATTCCTCTCTGAGAGCAATTTTGAGCTCACGAAGCGTCATTGGGGGAGGGTTTAGTTGTTTTACGCATCTCCCTAGCTCGTCCCAAGCATGCTCGATCGGGTATGTTCATCTCTTGAAGGTCACATCCTACCTGTATGAGGTCGGGCATTGTCATGCATAAATATAGCATCCTCACCCAAATTGACCATAAATGGACCAACGTGTTCATTGAGGTTTTCTTCCACATATCTTTCGCTAGTTAAAGAGCCGTTTTCTATGATCACCAGCTCTGTGCGACTCTCAGAAGAAATTCCGGCCCACACAAGTATAGAACCAACACCGTAGGCTACTTTTTCTTCGACGCATGCTTGCTTGAATCTTTCCCGTGATCTTCTATACACTCTTCCATCGTGCTTCTAGAGTATAAATTTTGATTCGTCTGAGAACATAACTATTGACCAATCTTCGATACTCCAATTTACGTGGTTCTGGGCATATCTTAGTCTTGAAATATGATGCCCATGCTCCAGTTTAGGGCCGTTTGCAGGTCTAAGGGGTTTCAAGTTAGATTCAGCAAGCCGACGTCTTACTGTCCATGCGATTGGGTTACTTCCTCCGAGGCGTCGAAACTGAGTTCAGTTCCGGTGAGAAAGCGATTTCAAAGCATAGTGTTCACCAAGTATCGGTCTTCTCGTAGTGTGGTACACCTGGTTCTGCCCGTTTCTGGTCTGCGTAAGTTAGAACCAGTTTCTTCGTAACGTCGGAGAACTCTTTGTACTGTTGGCAGCGATACACTGACAGTCCTGGCTGTATCGCGCTGACTCTGGCCGATTTCCACCATTGTGACTATTCTGGTGCATTCTTCACTTGTAAGCGACATGATTTCAGCTTGAATAATGAATATTGAGCACTATAAACATGGTTTATGTACCCATATAAATGACAGATTACAAACAAAGGCTGTAATTTCGTAGTTCCATCTTCGAGTGTTCCTTTTTCTAATTTGATTTTTTTTAAGGAGTATGAAATTGTCTATTAATAGTACATTACGATATTAGTGCGTTATAACCAATACGCACATATATCGTACGACGTTTTTTAACACATTTGCGAGGAAACAGAAAAAAAACATTAAATAAACTCAATCTGTGAATGTACACTGTTGCTTTTCCGCCATTTTAACAGCGCGCTAGCGCTGCCTACTGACTGGCGCCGCGCGGCGATTAGTTCGAAATTTGAATAGCAACAGCGCGCGAAATGGCAAATAATACTGTTATGGAATTTGTATGGACTATAATTTAACTATTTGCTTTGGTAACACACGCGTTTTTTATGACCCGCTTTACATATTTAAAACCGGTTGAATTACATCAGCTTTACGAGCAAAGGTGTTAAAAATACAATTTATTGCATTAACATAACATTTTTAGTTTCCGAGATTTTTAGGATTCTTCAAGTGACCCATATTCATTGCTCTCGAGTGTATTAATGTTAGAGTAACAGTAGATTACCTTTACAGCATTTGGAGTAATAAGCGATATAAATATATTTAACAGTGTATTAAAAATATATTTATCTTTTTGTAACCTATCACTGATCTAATAAAAGTGTATTGTTTTAGATTTGCTGCATGAATATTTGAAATGGCTGCCAGAGTCTGCGCATAATGAAGCTACTATGTACTGGCCCCCATTGTGAAATGTATGAAAATAATTGTAATAAATATGTACATATTCTGTGAATATAATTATTGTTAAAAATTATTTTGTTATTTTTATTAATTCATCTTAGACAGAGTTTATGAAGATGTGATATAGAGTACATTTTTTTATTATAGATGATCAATTTTGCATTCATAATGCTATACTGGAAAATGTTCTTATTAAAAAATGCTTTAAAAATCCACTTTGTCCCTGGTACTCTGATGAGATGGATAAAGTGGTTTTTTGAGCATTTTTCATAATGTTTTTCAATTTATATAATAACATATTAATTACCATACAAATTATTTGTTCTTCAAAAAAAGAAAAAATATCAAAAAGAACAAACTACTTGTATTTATAATAATAATATTTGTAATAATCAATACGTCTAAACAATAATTTACTTATTTAAACAAAAAATCTAATTGGTCTATCTCTTCATCTGGTTTGGCTTCAGCTTCACTTAAAGACTAAGTATGACCTGCGTTAAAAATAAATCACCATTATTATTTCTAAATTTTCAACGTGTAGCTGAAGAAAACTTTAGATGTCGCTCATACGCTTAAAAAGGGTTGATGTAAGCCAATATAGTTTTTGATAAAAATTATTATATTAAAAATCCCGCAGTATCAGTTGGAATCCCGTAGTATATCCATACTAACATCAACGTTTGTGTTCATTGAACCTAACTAGACCTACTCCGATCAGTGCTTATAATACACTTAACTGTTAAGTTTAAACTCGATCAGTTCAGTAGTGTTACTGCAAACTTATGTGTAACAGACGGACTGGCTGACACGATGTTTGTGTTCGTATGATGTTATAGAGGAGATACTTTCAAACACTTTCAAATATTTTTATTTGAAATCTTAGACTTAAAGTGTGGGCTCGCGGCGACTGTATTGCATTGTCATTGGGCTTGACGTATTATCAGCTTAATATAAACGAAAAGATGATTATGTATAAAAATACATTCATTCACTATTACAGTCTGTGGGAACACAGCCTAGTAGATACACAAGTAGTTTTCTTTTTCTTCAATTTCACCCATCAGTTTTCAAATCAAATCCCTTGGAAACAGAAATAAAATTAATATTTGTTGCAAACTTCGTACAAAAATGAAATATGAAAAATGTATTTCAGTTTGATATTTCAGGTGCTTTGCCAAATTCATTATAACTTTCTAATACTAATAGTTTGCTTCGGTTAGACAGACAGACAGTGAAACTATTAGGGTAAATCAGAGTCAGAATGGAACGCACCGGAAGAGGCGAAAGGAATTTTAGGATTCTATTTCCGCTATCTGTACTCTAAGATCTTTTAATGTTCTAAGGTAAGAACTTTTAAGATTCAAGGAGGGTTGATATGTATAGTACAGGATCACGTAGGCGAACCCGCGAGTGGAAAGCTAGTTGTAGATAAAAATATGAACCATCGCAAACATATACACGCAAAGTCGTCAGAATTCTAATGTCACCTATCATTCATTTTCATGAATTGAGGAGGGTTGAGCATGCTGATGACTCGATCACAGCTTCCCAGGTCTTATTCCCCAGCAGCTTTTGGGGGGTAGGCTACCGGTAACGCAGGAGAGTCCTACACCCGCCACCCCTGCTTACTAGGTGGCAGGGACTGTACTTAACAGCATTTCCTCGACGCATAAAAATAACTTAAGGTGTGCCTAACCTTTAGAGGTACATTATGGTACAGCAAATATAAGAACTCACAGATTACTAAGCAGTCAATTGTCACGTCTGTTACACTGCGACCGTTCCAATTTGCCATTTTTCTTTTGTTATCAAACTTCATTATCACCTGTTATCACCTACCGGCCAGAAGTTTATAAAAAAAAAATATTAGTAAAATATGTTATCTCACGTATTTCTGAATGACGTACTTGAAAAACTTCAAGCTGATCATTGTTTTGCAAACACATAGTCGTGGATATCAGCACATCGAATGGCATTACAATTATGATGGTTTTAAGTTAATTTTATTTTTTGTAATAATTTGCCATACGTTCATAATAGATTGGCAGAATAGTAATGATGCTTGGCTAAAATAATAAGTACTTAGTCCGTCAATAATACACTAGAAAAATAGCAGATAAGATTTTTTTTTGCTATAATTTATAATATAGCTTAGATAACAGGCTTTAAAGTTGCGGAGGAGGCTCGTTAAGTCACAGCTTTGTAAACAATGTACAAAAGCATGACATCATTTGATATTTTAACTTAATGTTTCATCGTAATTTATACGCTAAAGTCAAAAAATCGTATTTAACATTCCACAATAATCTACTTACCTGGTGGAGAGTAAAAAAAAAGTCATTATATCTATAATTTTTACATTAGCAAACGTTTTAATACTATTTCATTGTCCAACTACGGTGGAGTAATAAGGAGAGTTATAACCTTGCCTAATATGTTTATATGGCGGTACGCCTTGGGCCTCTTGTCCTGGGGGCAGTGGCGTAACTATACTATGAAAGGCCCGTGGCAAATTCATCGGATATTCTATTTTTTTACTAATTGTGTAATAATAAATCTCAGGAGTAAGGAGTCTCCCCTGACCGGGGCCCCTTCCAGTTGGGGGCCCGTGGTATTTTGCCGACTTGCCACCCTGTGGTTACGCCACTGCCTGCCTTTAAATGATTGCAAGTTCCCTCGATCGAACCATAGATTGTGGTTAGAGGCTCTGTAGACAAATAAGTGCAGCCTGTAGCGGTAGTTTACATTTTTTAAATTAAAATTACTTTAAATAAGTCCAGTTTCGTAGTTTTTTACTTTCATTAACTTTAAAATACTATAGCCGCTTATATTATATACACAGTATTAATATTCTTATATATATATTCACGCGTCTAATACTCGGTCAGGACATTCACGTCTTAGCAGGGGGCAGGGGATGTAAACGCAATATCAAGATTCTGCCCCTGTTGGAAAAGTTGTCGGGGCCCGAGTCTGATGCCGCCCTGAGCCCCCGATGGGGTTAGTCTATCGATTATAACCCCAACCATGATTCTACCTGTAAGATACGGACCTTATTGATATTATGACGATATTTCGTTTCATCTTACTTCTTTGACATGTCTTTTGGTGGATAAATTTGGGATAAAAATACTGAATTGGTATTTTTATCCCAAATTTAATTATTTACATTGCTCTAAATTCTACAATCAACATTCTTTATTACACGTTCATTACCAAAGTACCTACATGTTAAAGTAGTAAAATGAATATGACATGGATAGAGAGTTAGGTGGTCGTACTCCTGGGGTATTCCTGGGGCACCATCACCTCTTTAATCCGTGCAGCGAGCGGGACGAACTATACGTAACAATAGCGGTGTACTGCTCGCTGCACGGATTAAGCATTTCTATAAGAGCTCATGGTTACGCCCCAGATTTCGGGGACTTGGCACTGGTCAATTTTTTAAGCATTATTCTATAAGACAAATATTGTTATTCTATTAATACGTACTATTAATGCAAAAGTTTGTAACAATTCACGATTATGTATGTTGGTTACTCTTTTCCGAAAAAACTTGATTTTGATGGAATTTGGTATATTGATAACTTTGAGCCTGAATTAACACATAGGCTACTTTTTATCCAACCGGACGGTTTCCTGGGGACCAGGAAGCGGCTGGTGGAATGCTAGTCTGAAATGAATGTGATTCGTGTGGTCGTACGCTACTTTCTAATGTCTCTCACGTTTGTAAAATAGCTTAAAAAGTAATTAAATCTTTTCATTATCGCCATGCCTGATTCTTCTATAACATAATTTTTTTTTTTACAAAGAAAAACTGCAGTGCCAGCAGATGTAGCGTTTTCGTATAGTTTATTTTATTTTAAACTTCGGTCATATTGTTGATCGAAAATTTTAAACTATGGTTTTGAAGACTAATGAAGACCTTATTTCTTTATACAATACATTAGAAATTTATCAATTGTTTGACATAATTTCTTAAGTCATTTGTCAACCGCAAAATAGCTTTCCGTTTATCTTTTGTAAATATAAGTTCTTTGTTTGGTATCATCGGTGCTTTATCATTGATCCAGTTATATTTGACTCACGACTGTTTTAAATTATCAACTATAATTTTAAAGCAGTCGTGTTTTAGGTTTTGAGCGATAAAGCCGTTAATATAGTTTCTCTCACAAGTGTTTTGGTCATGTGAAATATAAATAGGGAAAAATGACGAATTTTAAATCGTGCGTTGCAATACTTATTTCGGTTAGTGCAATCAATGGATTCGCCTTGCCTTTCGAGGGATTGTATAAGCTGGATATAATACATTACAACGATTTTCACGCCAGGTATGTTTTTTTGTTGTAAGTCTGTGCTAATTCTGTAATAAGTTGTTGAGAAATATTACCTTACTGGTCACGATGTAAAAGAAATGTTGGATATGTATGAAATGTATCAATGTGTTGTAATATTATACTTAGTATACTTTTACATAATACATTTCATACTTACATAATTTCTTTTTATCAGTTTCATAATATAAATATCCCAATAGTAACGATTCAGGGTACGATTTTAGAAATTTTGTAAGTAGTAGGTCATCATTAGTATTATCATAGAAATGAGTAAACTTATTTATCTATGGTATTATGTAACAAACACTTTATATTATTTAGAAATTTTTTCTTTGATAAGTACTCAAATAAGATAATAACTCCTTATTGCATATTACACAATAGAGATAAATAAAAAGAAAACTCAATGGAGGTTCGCCCATCACCAATTCCTTCCAGAAAACCATAGGATCAAATTTCTGAAATTTTTTTCGTGGATGTTTCTCTGTCGGCATTAGTATAAAAAACAGTCTTTCAAATCAATAAATCCTTATTTTTGTTCAAAAATATGTCAGCATGTTTTAATTTTGCTTTCATTTTATAGAAGTATTATAGCTATAATGTTCCATTGAACCTTGTCATTCTTCACGTCAAAGCCATAAGGAACCAGCCACTAATTTGGTAGTTCTTTTGTAGGTTATTTAGCTAATTTATTTTTGAGTAATCGCTCCGATTTCATTTAGAATACTAGTCAGTACGCTATGGTCCAATGACCTCCGTAAAAGTTGAACTGTGCAACAATTTCATCAACAGGTATCAAGGTCAAGATTAAAGTGATATTGCTTTTATGCCCAGTAATATATAAACATTTTTAAAACAGTGTTTTTTATTTATCAAAACTTATAATTTAAGGTCTAAATATTTAAACTTTCGCGTTGCATTATATTATATTGTATAAGACGGGTATTAACGCGTTAGATTTTGATAGTTAGGTTTTTCACCTACCTATATTTCCTGACGTCCTCAATAAGTTTATTGTTTCCATAGGTAATTTAAAAAAATATTACATAATTAAGTTAGTCTCACTATGGACCCTATCGGGCACAACAATAATATAAAGTTTATTATAGCATTAGTTTTTATTATTGTAATTTATATAAAATTTATAATTGTACCAGACACATGCAAAGGCTATCTAGAAATGTTTAAAACATTATATCATATTGATATATATATAAGAAAAAGTAATAATATTAAATTAAACTTAATATTATTTCTTTTCCTCTTGAGAAGAAATTTTTGTCTGTTCGCAAATTTCGTTGTCGTTCACTGACGTCTCACACGCACGCTGCGCAACAACCGACTTTAACACCCTAACAGCGATCACATTACCCGATAAATCGGCCCTAACTCTCATCGGGCGATCGGGCGCCCACGTTCACCCGATATCGGGACCCTAACTCTCTAACTGCGATTAGACTACCCAATTTACAGTGTACCCGATGGATCGTGCCCGATAGATTGGGTAGTGTAATAGGCGCCTAAGTAAAATCGAAGCGCCCAAAATGATCATAAAGATGTGAAGTATAAGAGATCAATTATATATAGGCAACCAAAGTTGCATTAAAATTCTTTAAAACACGCAGAGATAAAATTATCTCGGCTCATTTTCTTCAATTTTATCTGCTAATTAACAAATATCGTATCGGTTTGATGTCACTGAACCCAAACTCAAGTCGAAGTTGGTCTAGTAGTTTTAGATTCTTCAACAATTTTTTTTTAATCAATAAATTACAGCGATACATTGAGTTGTAATTTGTCACTCCTTTATACATTTTCTACTTAGTTGTGACGTAGCGAGCCCCCACTTCTCAACTTTAATTCTTAATAAATAACGGACTGAATAGATTTTTATTTACCCAGGCATCTTGCCTATTATCTGTGATACAGGGATAGATAAACACACAATTCACTTCTGGTTTTAACGTAGGCACCTACAGAAGTTTTAAAATTGACATTGTTTTATTCTAATAGATTCGAAGAGACCTCTGTGGAGACTCCAACCTGCAAGTACAATAATAACTCCTGCTTAGGCGGATTTCCTCGTTTATATCACGAGATCGAAGTATTAAGGAAGGAGAAGCCGGATTCCTTGCTCCTCAACGCCGGAGACAGTTTCCAAGGCACTTATTGGTACACTTTACTAAAATGGAATATCACTCAGCAGTTTATGAATCTTTTGCCTCATGACGCACATGTAAGTTAAAAGGGATAAATGATTAGAAATTAATGACCTTTCACTAAAGTTAGGAATCGCCCAATTCTGTCGCCTAAATATTTAGGAATCACCTAAGGTAACAATGCATTTCACCATTGGATTAGAAACCATCTAACAAAACTAAGCAATGTCTAAATTTATGATATTCGTTCTGCGGCGCCTTACGTTAGTCATTTGCGTATTTGATAGGTCATGAATATGGCAAAGGATGAAGGAAAAAAATATTTATTGAGAATTAAACAAATCTGCTTAGGCGATTCGTAATATTAGGCGTTTCCTAGTAAAGCTATGCCTTATTCTAGGTTAGAGAAAATGGGTGTCAGAGCCATATCAGCCATTCTGCACTGAACGTTTCGTCTACACCTAATATGCCAATTTTCTGGGGTGCGCCTAAAAAGTTTATATACTTAAAGCGTTTTTTAGTGCTCTCTAGCTATTAGTGATTCGGAAAGCCCAGTTGAATTTGCAGTCGTTAATACCCTCCAATCTGCATTGGGCTGGCGTGGAGGATTATGGCCCATCCTCTTTAACCCTCACTAAAGAAGGCCTGAGCCCCTGCAATGGGGGTGTAAAAAGAATGATAATGAACAATCTCAAACAAGTCGAACGTCTCAATAAAGATTTTCTATAATTTTCTAGGCGATTGGCAATCACGAGTTTGATGATGGCCCTGAAGGTCTCGCTCCATACCTCTCAAATCTCAATGCTCCAGTCGTCGCTGCCAACATGGACTCCTCGAAGGAGCCGTGTCTACAAGGGCTGTATAAACCCCATGTTATTGTGGAGCGAAAAGGACGACGTATCGGAATCATTGGTCTCATCACTACAGATACTGCGGTAAGAGTTTTGAGAGTAAATATATTTGTAACGGTGACTAGACAACACATTTATACGTAGGAAATCATTTAGTGGGATAAAAAGTAGTTTATATGTTAATTCTCCGTATACCAAACGTTAAAAACTTTTATGATGTGTAATAGGCAAATGACGAAGAATATACTTATGGTGTCTATTTTGCGGCGCTTTTATTTTCCAGAAATTATCATCTCCCGGTAATGTGGTCTTCACTGATCCCCGGGTAGCAGTTCAGCGTGAGGCTCAAGCTTTAACTGATAAAGGCGTGGACATCATAATTGTCTTGTCACATTGTGGTCTGGATATTGACAAGTAAGTCACCAATCACATCTTAATTGTAGATTTGACTGTGATAATTTAGAACAGTGCTGTTATTAAATAGATATAGTTAGGTATTTAGACATACAATAACATAAATGCTGGGTTTCCCAATGCAAGGGATTGCCGAGCGTAATGAGATAAATAGGGACAGGTAGAAGAAGATTCGAAGACTTGACCCCCCTAGGCCGTAAAGTAGTACCCCCTGCTTTAGGTATTATTATTAATTATGTGTAAATTACTCCATCATTCTTTCAGCTATTTAATGTTCCCTATAATAGGATATAGTTACAACAAAAAAAGGAAAACTTTAGAACTTCAGGAGTAACTTTGCGTTTTGGTTTTATCGAATCAATGTCTTTTCCCACATGAACTTTAGTGAACTGACTCCTTATCCTGTTTACTATCAAGATAAATATTTCGCAAAAATCATGTCGGTATGTATTCCATTAACAAACTATATAAAACATATTTATAATAAATAACAAAAATAGTAACGTGCGTAATAAGGAAAACTAAATCTCTAACATATGTATTATAATAATCCTAGTTAACAATATGTTTTTAAGATGACATAAGCTTTAGGTAAATGTTTTTCGGTAATGGTTTTGTTTTTCTAACGAAGAAGTATACGAAAACTCTATGTTGAATATGAATGAATGAGTGTACATATTTTGTTGTGCACTATCAATACATAGGATAAAACAAAGTTGCTTTCCGTCTGTCTGTCCCTACGTATGCTTAGATCATAAACACTAAGCAACAGATTTTAATGCGGTTTTTTGAAAAGATAGGGTGATCAGAGCGGGGCCCGTAGCAAATTCCCCCCCCCCCCCCCCCTCACCCCGAAATAGAAAAGTCATCTATTGCTTTCCGAGTAACACAACACAACTAATCTGTGACTTGAGTTTTATTTGTCAATTTATGTTTGTTCTTAAAAATATGACTAGTTAGAAGAGTGGTGCTCCCAATTGCGCGGGGCCCGTAGCATTTGCTTCTTTTGCTACGTGGCTAATCCGACCCTGAAGGTGATTCAAAAAGAAGGTTTTATTTCATAATTCAGGGCCACGGGCGAAGCCGCTGGCGGAAAGCAAGTTACAGTTACATAGAAACATTTTTACAAGCAATAACAAACGCAAAATTAATTACTAAAAATACGACACTTTTTACCATATTTCTAAATCTAAAAAGAGGAAATTTTCCTTCGAAAACTATACTTGTTATCGACAGCTAATCGTGGACTGAAAAATTAAAACATAAATTACACAAAAAAGGTATAATTAAAAACACTGATTCGCAAAACAGATAGACAGCAATAATTGAAAATACTAATTAAAAACTATATAAAAACCTAAAGAGGCTGGCAATGCTGCCGTCAACATTACATATTGATAGAATTAAAAGTTTTTTTTAATAGGTGAAGGTAGTGTTTAATTTAACCGTTATTCTCAAACCATCTATAAGACCCCCAGCGGCACCCGGAAGACCCAATGGTGGTATAATTTCTTTAAATTTTAACGACTATTAGGAATATATTAGAAAAATTTAAATGAAAATTAAGTTATTACCTTCCAGCAGCAATGTGTATTATCGGCTCATCTTCCACTTTATATGAATCGGTTGTTTGATAAAATTATCGCTTATTTTAACCCCGATAATGTTATTTATAGTATCTGTTAGAGTTTCATCTGTCTCGTGATATCGAGAGATCATTAAAATGAAGGTTATCTTGTACTGTTTGACAAGTCTAATCTTACTTCTCTGGATAATTGTACTAATCTGCGCTAAGGTATAAATAATCTCTCTGTTCCAAACTTTAGCCTCTGCTATGTTAAATAAAGTTCCACTAACAATAAGTGTATTTGATCTACCTGTAAATAAATTTTAAACTCTTTTAAGAACATACGTATGAGTAAGGGGCCGTCCATTAATCATGTGAGGCTCGAAAGGGGGGGGGGGAGGGATTCGTCAAAAATCACGAAATATCACAAGGGGGTGGGGTGGTGTAGTAATATATCACGTGTATTTATTTTTTCCTCGACGTGCGATTATTAAACCGAAAAGCGATGTCAAAATTAAGATTTTTTGTTAATATATCTAAGTTTAAATATGTTATGAGAGAAGGTAGACTATGTTGAAAATTGTAATACCTATTATTATTAAAGTAAAGAAAATAGTATTCATATCTCCAGACCTCCAGAGACTCGTACTTTAGTTGGATAAGTGAGTTGTAACAGGATACATATGATTTGTATCCTCATTGGCATACAGCGATTATCCAATTCCAACTGCTCCTATTCAACAATTGATTTTTTTTTATAGGTGAAGAAAATGAAATGTTAAATCAATTTGTAAGCCACAAACAAATAGTAAATAATAAGATAGACGTACATTAAATAGTACCTAAATAAGGAGATGGACGTACATCAAATTTGTTTTCTCGATTTGCCGTTCATGCATATTTGTACAACACATCAGATTTCCTATATTGAGATATTAAACAATATATTTTGTATACAACGATGTTATATCCAAATTATTTAATTTTAGATTTTTTTGAAAATTGAAAAATGCTTAAAAATTCTGCTTTGTCCCTGGCACTCTGAGATGGGACTTCAATCCATGACCTTTCGCAATGCGGGCGACTGATCTAACCACCGACCTACCCAGGACCTAATAGGACTGCCGAATTTTTCAAGCACTTGTTACTTCGCTACTATAGAGCGCATTTTCATCAATGTACAGGCAATCCACCCAAACAGCCGAAAGAAATATTTTACGAACATTTAAACTTTCAATAAAGATGCAAATTTGTTTTTATTATTATATTTTATCAATTTTGCATTTATAATGCTATACCGAAAAATATTCTTAATGAAAAATGACAAATAATACAGCCAATGCAAGGTAAACTAAATATCGACGCTGGAAAGCAAACGCGTAGTAACCCGCAAAACTATACTTGTTCTTCAGAGCAGAAAAACTTTTATTTTTCTCGATTAATAATCCCTATAAATGTCCATGGTAACAAATAAAGTGTTCCTTAGTCAATTTATACCGAAATAAGATATTTTTTTTGGAAAAATATAAAAAAAAAACACTCTAAATATCCATTTTGACTTTCCAGCGTCGATATGTTCGCACCATTAAAATTTCTTTTACACATCAGTAATTACTATTTATTTTAGTTAATTAGTAGGTATAAGTAAATATATATATTTATATAAAGATTGTCATTTAGTATATACCTATAATTTATGTATATATATCTATAACGCCAACCCTTTGTACAGGCTCTGCCAGAATAACCAGCGCCGTATCTGGGTAAGCTACTCTGGTATGGCTTATGCTGAGGCAGAGTCCTGATTGGCCACCACATTTGTAATTAAGTTAAACCATTGTTATGTACCTATGTGGTCAATAAATATATTTTCTTTCTTTCTTTAAATACAAATGGGTTTTAGGCATTTTTCATTAATAATATTATTTTGACAATGTGAATTTTGAATTGTTTGATTTTCAGAGAGTTGGCCCGTGACTACGGCCAGTATATAGACTTAATTGTTGGTGGTCACTCTCATTCTTTACTATGGAATGGGCCATCACCTAGTCACGAGGCTGTTGCTGGCCCCTACCCTGTCTTTATAGAACCCAGTGCTGATAAGAAACATAAGGTATTGTATTTGAAGTTAAGTTAATTTGGATCTTGAATATTAAAATAGGTGACTTTAAAACTTTATAAAAACTAGAAAAAAACTTTATACTTGATAATATCGATTATTGATCGGAGATCATATTTTAACATTTACAAGGACGGTAATGCCTTTGTAGAAAAAAGCTCTCTGCTTCATGCGAAGTATTACGGTCATTATTTCGGCAACATCTCTTTACATTAATTGGATCCACAACTTTTTCCAACCGGGGCAGAAACTTAATATTGCGCCTTTAACCCCCCTTATCGTATTTTTATTATTGCCATATTTTTTAAATACATTATTTAATTTAGGGACTTAGAAAAGGTGTCCGTCCCATCGTAATTTAATGTCTAAGAATTTATCTTAAAAGACATTTTGGGAAGCTATTGTTTTTACTTTATTAGCGCCCAGGCAGGGGGCAAGTGCTACTACTTGCACCCCCTAGATCAGGGCCTGAAATCTTAATATTATGCTTTAGAAATGATTTTCAGACTATTATCGTGTGTTTTTTAAATTTTCCCAGACACTGATCGTGCAAGCGTCAGCGTTCACTAAGTATATGGGCAATTTGTCTGTTTACTTTGACTTCCGAGGTGATTACGTTAAATGGGAAGGGGGACCTATTTTCTTGAATAGATCAATCCTTGAAGGTACGTTGAAAGTATTTATTACTTATTGTTGAGGTAGATATTCTATAATCCTATTTGGTTTTCCATAACTTGAACTTTATCGACTGCATTGGCCTAAAGTAATGAAAATAAATCCCTAAGTTTTATATTTCTAACGTGTGATTTAATAAAAAAAATATTCGCGTGTATATTTTTATAAAACCATTTTTGCCATAAAGGTAAAAAAATACGTATAGAGTACTATCAAAACTACTGTTACCAAATTAATATGACTGTTGCGGCATACAACAACATTACGCTGCAGAGGGCTCTAGTATCGCTGCGGCTGTACAAGCCTCATGACGGTTAACTAATATAAATATTCATACTATAAAAAATCTCTGTACATTTCATCCATAATTTTGTGAAGAGAGAAAATAAATCCATAGCACATATGAATAATATATGTTATTTCATTTACAGATAAAGAGGTAAAAGCGAAACTAGCACCATTCGCAGAAATAGTGCACAAGGCGGAGAATGTGCCAATAGGAGAAACGTTAACATCTTTGTACTTTGAAGATTGCGTATTTGGAGAATGTGCATTGGGAGATGCGCTGACTGATTCGCAGAACGAATATGTAAGCGAAGTCTTAATTCAATGAAAGCTTCATTTATATAAAGTAGAGGTCCCACAGTAGTGCCATATTTTTATTTTCAGGCCAAAGAAAAGGTTAAATCTCCATTGGATCACATATCATTCGTTCAAAGGGGAAATATAAAATCCACGATCCCTGAAGGAAGTAAGTCATATTTCAACAAGTTAAAAAAACATAATGTTCATATAGAATCTTAAAATCTCTTTTACGTCCAGTTCAAGATATTTAAGAAAAACAAAATATTTTGTAATGGTAAATAAAGATTTATTGCAAAATGGCGGAGATGGTGAATTGGCAAATTTCACTATCATCATTTCCTTATCCTAATTAAACTATAAATCGTGGTGAGGATGTTGAAGTCGACGTATTTGAGTTGTTGGTTACATGTGGTGAAGAATGAAGAATGAATGAATGAACCTTTATAATGATTTCTAGGAAAAATAAAACATAATACATATGCATTTAGTTTGAAGATGAATATGTTCAATAAATTGAAAACTTAAAATAACTAATTTATCAATCCAGACCTTTATTTTTTACCTTTAATTAATCAAATTTATTTTTCTAAATTCACCACTTTTATAATCTAAGTGTTTTTGACTGTAATATGGAAGAAATCATACTACATTTATCTTCTAATTAGTTGAAACTGTATGGGATGTCAAATACACTGATCTGTATTCTATCTTTGGTCAATAAATAATAAGAAGATAAACGTTTCAAGTCTTCAATGACGTTGCTTTTTTTTTAAATTTAGGTATTATTAAATTTATTAACAAACATAAATTTAAAAAATGATATTGTACAAAGCATAGTATACAATTTGTTTATGATAATCATATGTCATAACTTTTATATCTTTATTTAGTTTTTCAATAACTAAAAAAAGAAATAAATTATCTATTTTACTTTTAGCGATAACTCAAGGCACGGTGTTCGAGTTACTACCCTTCAATGACAGGATGGAATCGTTCGAATTGCAAGGGAAGTGGGTTTTAGAAGCATTGGAGAGGAGCGTCAGCGAGGCCTGGGATCAACATCCGTTCAAAGGACCATGGGTATTACAAATATCTGGTGGGCATGTTTTTAAAATTTTGTTAATTTTTAAGAACCGGTTCTCTACGCACGAATAATAAATTCTCTAGTGAGAAACGAATTCTATCAACCACAGTGTTTTAAAGTGTGTGTGTTGTAAAAGACGCTATCTAAACATGGCTCTATATAGCTATTTTCCCCCTCTGGGAAAAAAAATAGGCACCGCCATTTGTACTTACCAATCACTATAAAAGCCGTGTATGAGCTTGTTATTTTTAAAGGTGTGGTATTATTCGTATTGTGATAGTTTACTCATGAATTTAAACCACTATATACAAAAAGAAATGTCGAAGAAAAATGTATTTAGCTTAGATCGAGTCCCGCTTGCAAATACTCGTATAAATACAAAACTATACATATTAATAAAATACCTGTGTTATTTTGATTCGTATTCGATAATTTTTGTGTTAAAAACAGTTACTTATTGCAGGTTTAAAGGTAACGTATGATTTATCGAAACCGGAGGGCCAACGTGTTGTGTCAACGAGTGTTGGAGATAACAGTGGCGCCCCCTTGGACAGTGATAAGTTTTACCAAGTGACAGCGCCCGCTTATTTGGCCGACGGAGGTGATGGGTTCACTGTGAGTTGGTCAAATTTTATTATCATTTTAGCTTTTATTACTATATTCCTTAGTAGCAGTTTGGGCTGTCAAGTTTATTTTGAGTGATCTCTATGTCACCCAAGAGTTGACTGCTTGAAACTATCCGAAAAACGCTGCCTTTTAATAGGTATATAAATATTCCTTTAAAATTTTCATAATTATATATTAATATTAAATATTAATAGTAGCTCGGTGGCGTAGAGGATAAGCGTCGCGGCCCGCGATCGTTATTGTTAAGCAACTTTCGCAGGGGTCGGTCACGGGATGGGTGACCAAAAAATTATTATCTCGAGCTACTCGTGCTTCGGAAGGCACGTTTAGCCGTTGGTCCCGGCTGCGTTTAAAGTCCTTAATACCCTCCAATCCGTATTGGGCTAGCGTGGAGGGTCATGGCCCATCCTCCTTAACCATCCATAGGGAAGACTTGAGCCCCTGCAGTGGGGACGTAAAAGGGCTGATGATGATGATTAAATATTATATGTAATTAGTAAAGGTAATATTGTTCGTGGTGTTCAACTATGGAACAGACTTCCCTTGAATATTCAGGATTGCCCTTCCATCGAGTGTTTCAAATTCAAACTAAAAGAATACTTTCTAGAACAAAATGTTCGTATTCATGTCACTACTTTCATTATATCTTATATATGTAGTGTATATTTTATGTATTGTATATATCTATTTGTTTTTACCAACCGTAATATCATTTAACTGCACTTCTATCACCCGCCTACATCTTACTCTCCCAGGACTGCTAGGTTGGCTGGAAGAGATCTCTTCTAGAGATAAGCCCAAATATTTACTTGTTTTTTATGTAAAATTTTGAGTGCAATAAAGAGTAAAATAATAATAGTTAATGCAAATTTTATTTAATATATGTAATAAATAATTCTTTACAGGCATTATGAAAGTAAAACTGCGTTTGTGTGTTTACTTTTCGATGTCAAAAATGACAGACTGAATGATATGAATGTTCTGTATGAGATGATAGCAATAATAATAGTTTTAATTATGTAGAACTACAATATTATTTAGATAGATATTTTCAGAACTAACATTTGAGGTAAATGATTCACTGCATTAATAATTTTTATTGTAACTACAGAATATTTTCTTTGAGAAATATAAAAAATAAATATTAGCGCCATCTCTTGACAACAAAACTGATTAAAAGTCGCGGCTTCCGGCAATGTTGATGAGATGTTTTTGGGTTAATGATAAACTTTTGTATATTGTTGTGGGTCTGGTATTTTGTATTTAACACAAGGGATTCAATAACTTGGCATTTTTATATATTTTTCTCTATGGTCTTTCCAGATGTTCAGAGACAACAGAAAGAACGTTCAAGTTATCGGCAGAGACCAGAATATATTTGTTACATACATCAAGAAACACTCTCCTTTAAATATTGTGAAAGATGGAAGAATACAATTCATCGATAATTAAAAAACGTAGTACCTACCATACATGTGCCGGTATACAATGCTCTATGGTAATGAGTAGGTAGCTGGATTAAAAAAATAATGCATTTTCTTAAGCATTCTGTATCTTCAAATACCTATTCCATGTTGTTTATTGAAGATTCCATTTAATTATAATATTTAAAAGAGTAAAGTAAATAAGGTATTACCGTCTAATAATGCCCATTGGTTTTTTAACCGCTGCATTGCTAAAAACCAAACTGAGACGTTGTTTAAGTTACATTCTTCCGCCCTTACCGAGCAGCAGTTGCAATTGAAATATATTTTAGTTGATTTTTAGTAATCCAGTACTTATTAGGCGAGAGTACCTTATATTATTATATACATGTTAAAGTTGACGCAAATTAGTTAAATCATCAGTTTAATGTCACCACTGCTGGTGCACATGACTCAAATAGGGAGAACTGGCCTCAAACCAACACGCAGGCCTAGTGTGGATTGATAGGTGTTAACGGCTGTAGATGTGGACGAGACCAACGGCATAAAATGTTTTGTGAAGCACGGAGGTGCTCTAAATATATATTTTTGGTCACCCATCTTATGATTGACCTTTAACAAAGTTTCTTAATATTCGCGTCCTCAAATCAAATGTACCTCAAGAAATCAAATAGTTTGTGTATGTATATTGTCGATTATTTTCCGTTTAGAAAATTGTATTCTGTTTATTACTACTGTGACAGATTACGTTTTGTTATACATATTTCTGTTTTAAATGTATGCTTTTACGTGTTTTTACTAAGCGCAACTGACTATGACTAGGTATATTTAAATAAAAAAATATTTTGTTATTTTTGAATAAAGTGACTGGTAATATTAAATACTTTCTGTTTTTTTTTTGTGTATAAAAGTTTTTGTAAATATCATCTTTATTAGGGTTCTATGTCCAAGAGGTTAAAACGAGACCCGATTACTATTGAAATTTTCATAGACGATGTATTTCTGATGCTGCTACAACAGCAAATACTTAAAAAAATAGTATAAAATATGTAAGCTCGTTTCCGGTACGGAACCCTTCGTGCCGGTTTTTTATTTGATAACTTTCTAATACTTATTTTTATAAAGAATGGATTAATGGATAAATTCTTTATAAAAATAAGCGTCGCGCTTGCTAAGCGTGGGTTACATGTTATGTTGGGTGTTTGGTAACGAACAGTCAGCGTTTGGATATTAAGTACAATCAAATATATAGATATACGAGTATAGTAGACAACATCACATACATTGCTCAGATTCCAAGACGAGTGGCCAAAACCTCGTGTTATGTAGTATCCGAGACAACGTAGGTACCACAATATAGAAAAGTGAGTTTTATATATTAACCCAGCCAGGAATCATAGCCGCGACTTCAGAAAAGGGAACACCTTAAAACCGGTGTGCGTACCACTCGGCTCCAGAGGTCATTAACTTGAATGCGTTTAAATGGGTCTTGCATGACGCAATTTATAAAATATGAAAAACAATATGGATATCAAATTGGTATCAAACTAAATGGTCTCAAGAACTCATGTCGCTCTAATGGATTTGTTCGAAAAGCATACCTCTTGTTCTTGTAGTACTTTCAACATAAAACTTGTGATGCCTCTTTAAAACCAAGCTCATAACCAGTATTTAAAAACTAAAGTTGAGGCTAAATTACATTATTATAAGGATCATAATTTTCTCGTAAATAGATCATTATATTTAGAGAGGGAAGCTTTTTTGAATATAATATTCACAATAAAATCAGACCCTAAGAGTTTATTGTGAAACCTGAAAAGCATTTTAGTCCAACTTAAACGATCAATGTAGCTGCTAGGTCATCTTGGTGACCACAACTCAATATGTGACCACTTCATGAATATACCGAGCGTCAATGTAGTTGCCCTGTCAGTGCTCACTTTTTACGAATTCACTCGTTTTAGGTATGATGTGTGTTTGCTGGAGCCTACCAACGCAACCAGTTATTCTTAAAATGATTGAAAAGATGAAATCAAACGCGCAAAGCTGTGATGAAATTTATTTAAAGATGGTGGTAAATGAATCAATCCCCATGTTAACTCTTCCTTATCTTTGGACAACAATGAAGGTTCGTCCTATTCTGAAGACTGAAACCCCTACAGAAATTAAAGCTCTTAGACCTATAAGCTTGCTGTCATTCATGTCAAAAATACAGGACAAACTAGTTTGCTTGCTGTTGGTTGATTTTCTGGAGAATAATATACTGCCGGATTGCCAGTAGGGCTTTCAGAAGTTACGTAGTACAACAACTGCATTGTTTGAAACAGATAATATTTTGTGTGCCCAAGATGCAGGTTTGTGTACTGTGTTAATACTATTAGACTTTAGACGTGCATTGGATAGACTTAATATTTCTCTTTTGCTCTCTAAGATGGCTTACTATGGGTTTGATTTCACTTCAATAAGATAGTTTGACAGTTATTTAACTAGACGTACGCAGTATGTTGAGATGTCGGAAAGGAATGATTTGAATATTACATCAAATATACGTCCGTTACACATGGTGTACCCCAGGGCTCAATTTTGGTAGTCATGTTTTGATTTTTTTAATTTTTAACAGAATAGTACTGCAGGTCACAACACTCCGGCTTTGAGATCCTTCCTTACAGTTATGTATGCTCTACGAAAGTGTAGTGCTCTACTTTAACTTCTCTTCGCTTTCCAGTCGGTGATGAATCTATGTTTGAGCTAATATTAAAAAGGTGAATAGTTTGTTAATTGAACACGCTTATCTCAAGAACTACTGGTTTGAATTAGAACAATATTTTTGTGTAGATTAGTCCATTTATTGAGGAAGGCTATATGCTACATAACATTACACTATGATTAAAACTATGACGCTAGAACGGTGTAGTCGCGCAAGTGAAGCCGCTGGCGAAAAGCTTGTGAATGTTGTAAAGTAATGATCACCTGGAGAGTTTTTTTTTTATTTACTATATATAGAGTTTTAGCTGTGGCGCAGCTGGGCTGAGCTATCCATAATTATTTACGAAACTGCGTAGGTGCATTGGGAAAATATTCTCTTTTTCAGAATTTGCCTCTTATGTTACTCGTATAACCGGGGAAGATGACATAAATCATTAGGCCACCGAATCTTTTTTAACAGTCCAAAATCAAATTTCAGTATCACTATACTTATATTTTCATCACGTGCACTATCCATAAATGAAACTTTTAAACGGTTTCATTGCGTTTGTAATATATTTTATTACGATCATATTGCTGCAGAATAAAGTATATGTACTTAGATATTTATCAAAATTCGTTCATTTCATATTGAAAATATGAATAGTAAAAAGTGCAAAAAAAGATCGGTAATTTCAAAATATTTAAGCGCCATGCTACTTGTCAGAGCGGATGTGATGAAAATTTATACTAATAATATAACTGAAGAATTTGTTTGTTTAATTTAACTCTAAAATCTCAGAAACTACTTGAATGTATTGAATTATATTTTTTTGTGTTGAATAGTTCCTTTGTCGAGAAAGGCTATAGGCTATATTACATCACGCTATGGCTTATAGGAATGGAGCAGCAATGAAAAATGTTGCAAAAACGGAAGAACATTTTACTTTTTTAAAGCTTATCTTGCGTGCGCTGCGTAAACGGTAAAAGTGACGTAAAATCATGTATTACGGAATTGATCCCCATTTAAAAGTTCTAAAAAAGTCGCGGCAATATATGTCTATCTTATATCGTATACCGAAATAAAGGACATAAATGAATGAAAATGGAAGTGGACGTTCGTAAAGCGCATTAAATAATATTAAATACAAGTTTAAGGAGTACTTTTTTATTACATTGTAAATTTATTACATTTGAGGCTAATTTTGTAATTGTCTATTTATTGCAATGTTTGTATTTGTATTAATATAATGGATTTGATTTTATAATATCGAAAATAAAAACAAGTTGTAAACTCGGATGACACAACTCAAACCTCAGTGGTTTTTACATGTTATCTTAAACTGTTTGTTATTTATATGTTTGTTTACTTAATAATAAATGAAAAAATCGTTACTATAAAAAACCATTGCTTACAATTAAATTTGTCATTGTAATTATATTCCTGTCATCATTTTCCAAATCCATTATTATTAAACGGTTTAAGCTCTTGACACAGGATTGAATAATGTTTTAATTAATTCAAATCGGTACAATTGTTCTCGCTAACATTAAATATATATGTTATGTTTGTTAAATACACGAAAATATTATATTTAGCTCAGCTCCTAATCACTAGATGACACTACTATATTTTTAAAATGAGATTTTGATTTTTGTTATGTTTGTAGTCTATTTATTTCCGATTTTTATCAAAGCAGTTTTCTTATTCAATTTTGCGGTTGTGTCGATAACATAATGTAATAGGTTATTATTAAAAGGGCGGAAAAATAAAATTTTATTTTTAGTTTTCGCTGCAGCTGGATAAACAATTTTCCATAAAAAGCGCAAAATCAAGTCAATTTAGGGTTAGTACGCTTGCCCGGTTTTTTTCTAAATAATATATTTTATTGGAGAATTATTCATCGGACGACAAAATAATGTATGGGTGACTATATATCTCGTTAATAGTAACAAGATACTTTAATACTTTACTGAGGGGCGTTGATTATGTTGGCGAAAAATGTACTGTCGATAATTATGAATGATCAAAAAATAAAAATAAAAATACTTGAAATTGTAGGAATTTTTATCTTAAATAGCAACTAAAAGCCAAACTATCAGAGTTATATAATAAATAGGCAAAACAATACTGTGTGAATGAAACTATATTCGTTCGATACCAACAAATTGAAAAGATTACAGAATATCTGCTGACAAAATTTCACGCACGTCACGCACTAAAATCTCTAAAAATGCTGAATTGAGAAAGCAAGAACAAGTTGACCGTCAATGAGGATCAGGCGTAGAAAAAGACTTTAATAAAAGGACTATTATTTCAAAGAAAACATTTGATTGTATTTT